AAACTAAACTATTAAATGTTTCAACTAACAGGATAAATTTTTTTTTATAAACTCCTACAAGTGCAGTTTTTTTTTAGTTTATTAAAGGTTGAATCAGTATTGGTATAACTTCAATGAGGAATTGTATTCAGTATCGTATTGAAATTGAAACGATGAATGTAGGCCTATCCTTCTGCGCATCGCGGTACTAGCAGTGTTTCCATACGTGGGATTATTATCCCGAAAACAGGATTTTTAGAGCATGATGAGCGGGATTTGAAGGGGATGTGGGATAAAACAGGAGTTTTGGCTATGACGTCCGTTTTTATTTAGGCTACTATGCTTTATTTTAGTGAAAAACTAACCCCGATCGAAAAAATTACCTTAACAAAATATGATAGCAATGTTAAAACAACTATTTAAACACAATATACAAGTCTAATTTAACACTCAGAATTTAACATCAAAAATCTTAAGGGATTAAACGGGATTTCTTAACCCAGTGACCGGGATTATATTCTTTTGGTCGTGTAGAAACACTGGGAGCTCAGTGCGTTCAATTAAAGCCAGTAATCAGAGGGTGATGATAGAATGTCTGTCGATGTTCGATGTTTTTGTTACATCGATGTTTTCATCAAACTTCGATGTTTTTGACCAAGTATTGAGGCGTAGATGCAAAATGTAGCATATCTGTAAAAAACGTAGTCTTTCAAGAGAAATTCCAGATTTTTTCCAAAATTCCCTGACTTTTCCAGACCAACAAAATTCCCTGACGTTTCCAGGTTTTCCCTGACCGTACCAACCCTGGTCATCCTTTTGTTTTGGGGCTTGTTGACCGCGAGCAGCGGCCCGGCAGGTAGCCCATGCAGCTGTTGCCAACCTTATAACGAAAGTTCCCCGTTAAATCCCTGCTGTTGAGCAACAGCCAGCGTTGGTCTTGGCTAGGCTTGATCTCGGTTAACGCTCTATGTCGTGAACCCATTTTTTGGCCATTGGTTAAAATTGGCCGAGATCAACAATAACGGCGGGCCATGAAACCCCCAACTCGTGAACCACCACTTAGTTAATTTGAGTGATGAATTGGTAATACAAGTAAACATAGAGTGTAAGGTAAGATCTGTTATAAAGTAAAAAACAGGGATCTAAATAACTTAAGTACTTACTTCTACTTACTTACTTCTTTTTTAATGCGTTTCTTTTCTTCTTTCAGCCACTCTTTTAGCTGCTCTTGAGCTTTCCGCTTCCTCTCCAGCTTTCTTCTACGAAATCCAGTGAGGAATTCTCTAAAACATGTTAACTTTTAAGCTATGGCATTAGGCCAGCATGTATGCCTACAGTAGCATATATGTATGCCTACTACTCTAGAGATTTGTTTATTTCAACTACTTTCAAACTTAGATATAACTTGTTGAATTAGGATCTTAATTGCCCCTCTTACAACATGGCAACAGTATCGGTAATATTTTAGTGTAACAATTTTAGGGTTAAAAATATGTATCAGTTTGTAATCACTTATAGGTAAGTTATATACATTAAAAAGATACGGTAAAAATAAAAAAATCTTAAAATAAATTTAACTAACAAACTTTGGTAAGAATAATTCAACCCCTCTGTTTAGCAAAATAACTGATTGATTCGGTTATTTTCATTCAGTCATTCCAACCACTAGGTACCAGTAATGAATACTCTCAACTGCTTATATTCAAGTTTGTTCCAGATTTGTTCAGATACAGCCTTACCTTACTTACTACTTACTTACTTACTTGAATTCTTCATCTTTGACAGAACCAGTCTGATAGATTGCGTTATATTTATTAATGATAAAAATAAAGACTATGTACATTATTTACAGTAATTATACTGAGTCACTAAACTTAACTTGGCCGTTTACTATTGGCAAGGCGAACAGAAACTCATCTAACAAGGGGCTCATCCTCATCCTCCATCCTCCATCTACACATTACTTATAAAGTTCTAAAAACGTTTTAAAACTGTTCTTTGACATCAACACTACAACTTTGTTAAGTAGCTTTTTGGGGGAGAGCCTTCCTTTTATTAAGTTAGGCCTAATTAAATATATCAGCAACAAATTTAACTTTAATACTTTTTAATGAAATGGCGACCATACAAAGTAGGTATTTTAAGCCAAGTATGAATGGAGATGAGTGTAGGATGAGTGGTGCGATCTTGTAGTCTTGTTAGTTAACCCAATTAAGTTACTGCGGAGTAGCTATAGATTGGATGTCTTCCTATGTTGATGGACGGAGGCAAGTTGTTATTAAAGTACCAGGTGTTGCCACTAAGTAAGTACAGGTGTTTAAGCAAATTTGGTTGGTTAGGTTAGGATATGACAGTAGGCCCCCTAACTGCCAGATGCCTAACTTAATCCACTCCAGGTTAGCGGACGCGTATCCTCTGCGTAATTATTAATAAATGGCGTCCTCGGCGCCAAAGAATTCTTTAAGTAGTTTTTGAACGCTTAAGCTGAGGTCTGGGTCTGAAAAGAGTGCCTATGGGTAGGCTACAGTTTCTTATCTGGGCTACGCTTATATAGGCTATTGATTGAAATTATCGAATTGAAAATATTGATTAATAGTCGATATTTTTAGTAATCTATTATCAAATAAAGGGTAAAGTTTCTTAACTGGGCTATGCTAATATTGATTGAAATTATCGATTCGATTAGTAAACCTTCATGCGATTTTTTCACCATCAGCAAGTTTGGTTGGTTAGGTTAGGTTATGATAGTTTTATTTTATCGATAGTTTCAATGGATATTAGCGTAGCCCAGTTAAGAAACTGTACCCTGTTCCCGTGCCTATAACTTACCAAAAAGCGAATGGAGGTTCACTAATCGAATCGATAAGTTATTTTAAATTGTTAGTAGCGTAGCCCAGTTAAGAAACTGTATCTAAATGATGTTCACAAACAGATTATCTTAGGTAAATACTGTATAGCCTATTATAACCCAGCTAAGCTTAGACCCTAACTTAACTTCCAGTACTTACTTTCTTGCTTTTTCATCAAACACAATGCTCAGTTTGGTTTTCCTGTTAATTGGTTTATGTCGTTTAACAGAATTTTTCCTGACATTAGTTTCTTCTATATCTTCATCCATTATCACTCCTGACTCCTGAGCTGAAATCGTATTCGTATACGAAAGAAAGAGTAAAGAATTGAAAAGAAGACTTGTTATTATTTTGAAATTAATTAATTGCTAAGGTTAGACTGGTTGGATGTTGTCAATGTGTGTCATTGTGGGAGGTATTTGGGTATTTCACTCACTGGCACTGCACTGGGTTCACCGTTCACCACCCACCGGTGGGACACACGGGAGGGACTAGGGAGTAGGGACTCACTCCACTCCAGATTTCCAACGTGAAGGCACGAAATAGTGAGCGCGTAACATGCAGTGGGCCCATTTCATAATAAACTACAAGTTACAAGTTACAACTTGTAACTTGTAATTTCCATTAGATTTGCATTGGGCGATCAGCTGATTTACTAATACAATTAGTTTGTACTTTATTATGAAATGGGCCCAAAGGTCGTATGCGCGCGAAATACGTTGGCAGCTTTGGCTGTAAATCAGCTGGTCAGCTGTTGGTTGTACTGTTGTATCAAAAAAAGATTGGTTACTGGACTATGAAAATAATTTTACTCCACTTATAAAATGTACAGATATCGATTTTTAATTCATATTGTTTCGGTTTTCAATTCTGTATGTTTTATTTTCAATATTTTAATAAATTTATGTTCATAAGTTTAAATTTAAATAAATAAAGTGCGAATTAATGAGCTGATGTAACCTGTCTGCCATGTTATCTAAATTTGCGTTTACACCAGAGTTTGAAAGACGAGTTGCAAACAGAAATTGCAAACATCTCTAAAAAAACGCCCATTTTCAGACGAAACTTTTCGCCGTTGCAAACAGTTTTTCAGTGTTTGTAACATAAATTTTTGTTTCCACTTGAAGTCGATAAAGATCAAAGGGAGTTGCAAACTCTTTGTTTGCAACACTAGTTTCGGTCACTATGAGCCGAGAGCCGTTGAAACACGAAACAGAAACATTTCTCCGCCATCCCCTTCGTGCGATCCCCTTCGCTACCACCTCCAGTCTCACTCACGTGATCACTCGCACCACCCTGTGTCTCGACTCAGTGAACCCTGTCTGGACTGCTACCTCGTGTTTGTTGTGACTTATCTCGTATCGTTCGTGCGTGTTGTGAGTGATGATCTACTGAGTGAGATGGAGTGAAGAGATGACAATATTATCAAAGTTAATTTTTTAGCTTTTACAGCGAAAATTAAGTGCTTTGGAATCAAACTATTTCTGACTATAAAAACAAAAGCAAGAAAAACTATGCATGGAATGACATGTCACGGGAAATTAACTTAAGCAGGGCAGAGGTCCAAAATAAGATGAGGAACCTCATAATTCAATTTAACAGAGAATCTAAAAAGTCAATAAGTCGATCTGGATCGGGGGTCGACGATGGGAAAACCAAGTGGAAGTTTTTTTCAATCGATGATGTTTCAATCAAGGTTGAAATTATTTCAAACATTTTCATGAAACATGGAAACAAAATAAAAATTGCAAACTTTTATTTGAAACTACTGTTTGCAACTGCTGTTTGCAATAAAAGTTTGCAAGTTTTTGTTCGAAACTCCGGTGTAAACGCGGCTTAAATGGTATGCCTGGATGCCTGTCACCCTGTCACTAAACAACACCACTTGCGACTTTGCCAGTTCTACCAGGCCACGGCCTGTAGTTAGAGGCGGCCGTGGCTATAATCGATGTATATTTATTTATTGAACACCAACGGCAAACACCATTTTACATTAAATAAGCTACAGATAGGAAACAATTATGAAAATTTACTTATATGAAGAAACGTTGTTGAAATGAAAAGGAAACATTGGTTTATTATTGATCTAGTTTTATTTGTAACAGTGAGTTGGCAGTTGGCACCAATGCTGTTGCCACAATAATAAATAATAGTAAGTAAGTACGTATGAAATGAATATGGTGGATGCTATTCGACTGGAGGAGAAGGCTATTCTGTGATTGGGAAACACTGATCATCTAGGTAACGGTTTACTTTTAATACCCATTTATTTACAGCTGCAATTACTATAAATCTTATTTTATGCCCTAATTATATTCATACTTTCCACTTGTCTTGGTAACCTCAGTTTATGACCTCATAAATACGCCAGGAGAAACCTTTCTTTGTTATTGTAGTTGGTAGATTTCCATAGGACCCTGGGGCAAAAATTTTCTAGATAAACTTTTCACTTTTTTAATTGAATGGCGAAATATCATAGTATCCACGACGTTCTTAGAATATAAACTTTATAATTAAAGTATATTGGCTACAGCTCTTGTGCTTAAAAGTCCTTTTTCCATTTCCACATATGCCAACTTGGTCCAAAACAGAGGCCTAACTTAGACCTCTGTGCACTAGAAAATAGTAATTTAAATACATAAGCCTAGGCATACCTATAACTTAACTCAAGTGTTTCATAAAGTAAGTTCTAAATCTCAGTTAGCCTAGATTTATCAAATTTGTTAAGTTATATCAGTTTTTACCAAGGTTATTTGCCCTATTGGCCTACTTAGGCAAACCTCAAGACCACAATGGGCCTAATCTTAAAACCTAGGTCTAGCAAACTTAAACTAGGCCTAACTTATCTTAACTTTAAATTGATCGTCTCTAGCTTTTAAACTTATCTGAGTAATAATGAGCTAACTTAAGAACTACTTAGCCTAAGTAAATCCTTAAGAATCCCTTTACATTTTTTAGGGCTAGAAGCATACAGTAACTTAAAATTTAATTTTTTTTACCCTTGTAAGGCCATAAACTTTTGTGGTGTGTACACCGGTCACTAAGTTAAGGCCAGGGCCAGCCCTATTACTGAGTTATGCACCTAAAAGGCCAGGCTATTTTTGTTTTGCGTCACATAGTTTTGGTAAATATAAGCCATTTTTAACTAAGGGAGGCCTACCTAACTTGCCGTACCATATTATCAGAAACCCATAATTTTTTTATATTTTTTTGTAGGTAGGCCTAGGCCCTAAGCTTAACAGGCTTTTAAAAACACTAACTTAATGGTGTTAGTAGGCCTAATTTTAACTTTAAAAAAGGTTTAAAAATGTAGGACCCGGACCCCAGTTTAAAAACACTTCCTGAAGTGTGAAATTGCGTAAAAAGTGTATAAAATGAAGTTTTTGAGGATAATTGATGGAAAAGCAATTCCAGTCCCAAATATTGACTGGAATTTGATAAAACCGACCCTAACTACTACAGTTCCTCCAAAACCTCAATAAGTTATACACCAATTTTAGACAATTCCACACACTTCAAGAATGTTGGATTCACTAAGTTACATCGATGTGAAAAATTCACAAGGCATATGCACTCGACATATAAGTTAATTTACAGTTGTCTCACTCAAAGATAACCAAAACCGGCATGCACGGAGAGCACCATGTCTTTGGTTTGCCGTTAGCCAACCAGCAACTAGCCTACAACGAATATTAAAATCACTTCGTCCAACAAATACATATTGTCAGGTAGGCCTATCCACATAACTTATTTCACCAGGAATCACCCCTTTCTTACTTAATGTCCGAAAGCGATTTTCCGACACAATCAGAATGAAAATTAATTATAAATTAGAGCTACGTCCTCCTTTGTCACTACTTCACTTTGAACTAAACACATGGAGTCACGGAGACAGTTCTAAACAAACAACTAACAAATAAACTACCAGCCAATCAGATTACTGCACGAAAGAAACCATCAGCCAATCAGAAATCTACACAAATAGGCCTACATCATCTGTTGATCTGTTTTACAACAAACCACAAACAATGCAGTTGCAGTGACAGGTCACTGTATCACAATTACCCCTAGAATTCCCTTGAAATTTAACTTGAATTCCTTCTGTATTTCCCGTAAAATCCCGGTTTCAATTAGCAAAGTACTGCAGTTAAGATTTTAACATATATAGATCTCATGAACACTCACTTGTTCAGGAAAAAATAATTGTTGATTATGAAATGAAACTGTTCTAAACTAACCGAACCAACCAAACTTGCTGTATGATTTCATGAGGAAAAAAATATTGTTGATTATGAAATGAATCTGTTCTAAACTAACCGAACCAACCAAACTCGCTGTAGGCCTATGATTTCACAAGGAAATAATAATTGTTCATTTTGAAATGAAACTGTTCTAAACTAACCAAACCAACCAAACTTGCTGTGATTTCATGAGGAAAAAATAATTGTTCATTATGAAATGAATCTGTTCTAAACTAACCGAACCAACCAAACTCGCTGTAGGCCTATGATTTCAAAAGGAAATAATAATTGTTCATTTTGAAATGAAACTGTTCTAAACTAACCAAACCAACCAAACTTGCTGTATGATTTCATGAGGAAAAAATAATTGTTCATTATGAAATGAAACTGTTCTAAACCAACCTAACTTGCTGTTTGATTTCATAAATCGGTTTTATAAGAGAATTCGTTACCCAGATATACAACCAAACAGTAAAGTACAAACCATGAAACCAATAACCCTATAAATCAGATTTTGTAGACACCAGCGCACCCAGTGTCACTAACACGAACACGAACTACTGTAAACACGATATACGAGCAACAACTTGTGTTGTTTAGTTCCATAAGATATGTTTATTTATTTATTAATTCCATACTCCTTGAGGAGTTTGTTTTATCTATGTTAATTATTCGTAATTTATATTATGTCTGCAGAAATATCAATATAGATTCGGTTCGATATATCGTTTCTAAAATATTTTTATTTTCAATTTAAACATACATGGAAATAGGTTATGATCTGTTTATAATTTATTGATGTTTTGAATGTAAAAATATAATCGAGTTAAGATCGGTGTACGTTTTTAATGAACTTGAATAAATAAAACTTATCAATATACAAACAAAAGAAGACTGAAAATCATTGACTATTAGGCCTAGTCAAAGCTGAAAACTTAACTTCACGTTTTTTGAGATACTGGTAAGGATAGGCTATACACAGGTGATAGATGATACACTTCACTTTTTATTGACCTATTTAAATATTTTCAAGCCATTTTTTTACTAAATATATATGATAAAATAAACAAACAACTTTATTTTTACTTTGATATTGTTTTTATTTATATCATATGGTACAATACAATTCTGATAGTCTTCCTGTCTCTGCCGGCTCTGCTCAACCCGTCGTCGTTGGCGGCAAAGGAAAGTACCCATTGATACAGACTAATTACCCATTCTTGCTGGGTAATTAAGTTACCTATAAATTACCCTTTTACCCGTCGAATAACCGTTTTCTCCCCATGATTAACCACGTATAATCTCCCCCACCCAAAACCCCGAATTCCCACTGGCCCCTTAGTGAGTTGGGATTATTGTTTATTTATTTAATTATAAATAAAAGGAGGCCTTGGCGCCAACAAATTCTTTGATAAAGTTGTAGTATTGATGTCCTAGAATAGTTTAAAAGTGATTTTAGAACGTTTAAGCTGGGGTCTGGGTCCTGAATAAGTAGGCCTACCCAAAAAAATGTACATATTCTTATATCTAAGTAAAATAGGTAGGCTAGGCCTATACGAAAACCCTTAATGATTTTTATTTTTGACAACAAATAAAAAATATAAAAGTTGGTTTTAAACCCAAAAGACACACATTTTCTTTTAGTAAATTGTGTAAGTTAGTTATAGCTAAAATGCTAATTTTCAAGTAAGTTAATTACCTTGGGTAATAAGTCCAGTTATAGTAGGCTAAATTAGTACTATTTGAAAGATCCAACTGCGTTTTTTTTTTCTAAAACTGAGAGAAGAGCAAGCCTATCTTTACTATCTTGTAGAATATTTTGTTCTTTCACACACTTAACAGAATCCACAAAATACATGAGAAAATACCTACCGTACACTAATGTAGTACGGTAAACACTTAAAATTATTTACAAAAGGCCTAAGTTATTTTTTACATAGGTAAATTTGATACCGTAACACACGCCCTTGCGTAACGTGTAACGTACAAGATTTTACTTGACCCGACATTATACAGAGGGTTACGTACAATATTTTTCATTATCCATTTCACTCATCTTCTAACAGTAACGTTCTTTTACAAACAAAAGCTAGGTTAGGAAAATACTTTAAGCATAACAATAAAATTCAAGCGCACAGCTGATTTCTAGCGTTGAACGTTGTTGGCTTCATAGAGGTAGGCCTACATATTTTTTCAAGTTGAGCACTCATGTTATTTTTGGGTTTCATTACTTCACCGAGTGAGTTTTAAAGAAGTTGTAGGCCTATACATCACGCTTGGGATAGGGAAGTTTAACACGGCAGGTTAGGTAAAATAGCCTTACCATTTTTTAGTGTGCACCAGGTTTGGTGTATTGCTGAACTTAAATGCACAAATTACATCAACTTCAAATTAAATTTATAGTTTCAATAGGCCTATCTTCCATTTTGGTTTTAGATTGGAGGAAGGAGGTATATATGATCAAATCAAGATTGGCAAGAATCAGAAGATGAGTGATAGAAAAACGCTGCGTTCGAGAACAAGAGGTAAGTTGGATTTGTTTTCTAAGCGATAGATTATTTATTACGGTACTTAATTGATCCTCTTTAGGTTTGTGTGTATCTATATTATTTATACGCTACATGAAACTTTGTGAACAATAGGCTAAGGCTTTTTTGTTTTAAGATTTAACCCCACATAGTAGGAAATACCAAAAACGTTCGTCCAAGTGTGTAGATTTGCAAACTGACCTTACATTTTTGAAAAGTCCCTTGGGCTCTGCCCCAGTGGCTTTTAAAGTTCCCATGTTATCCTTATGAAGAACATATTTGTTTACATTACTGTATGATCAGCTGGATAATTGAATTGCTGTTAATATTTTACTTGCAATTTAAGGAAACTTATGTTACAAAGAATATTTAACATATTTCTAGATTAAATAATACCAAGATATGTGTACATCTATGAAAATGGAACAGAAATTATTCTATAACCTCTTTATTGTACATTGTACAATTTTACCCGGGAAAAGCCGGGTTTTGCTGCTAGTAAGTTTTATATTTTGTACTTCGAGAACCATTTGTTTAGGCTCAGGGGGACCCAAAACAGATATCCACTCAAAACTCAAATTAAAAAAATGTTGACGAAAACAATACTTTCTCCATATACTATGTAATAGGGGGAGAAAGTAAGTGATGAAGCTCTGTAATTGCATTAAGATGTTTAATAAATAATCAACTAAGTTATCATGCAAATTAATTCTTGTTAACTTTCCAATCCTGTATAGTTGTTTGGTAAATCTAAATATTTTACCTACGGCCGTTTTTAAGTAGTAGCTGTTTCAGCTCAGTCCTTAGAATTGTAAAGTTTTACATAACAGCATGGTTTACTTTCATAACATCACAATTTTACTCATAACAACACAGGTAACGGACCAATGAGGTTCAAGGATTGAGAGAGAAGAAGTTAAATTGTAATGATTCGTTGTGTCACTGTCAGTGGCGATGAGAGGTTATAAACAAAAACATTTAACCTCTTTTAGAAGTTACGAGTATTGATTATTATTAGTAAATTGAAACTCTGTCATAGGTAAAGTAGTGTACGCAACTCGCGTAAATAATGTTAACGACACTCATAGAAGCTAGGAACTCAACAAGGCTCGTACCTAAAATTTATTACTTATGCCTTTAACACTATCTTAACGCAATAATTTCGTAAACTTCTATTTGTCAATAGATTAATGATTTATTATTAAATAATTGTACTCAATTTATAAAAGGTTGTGTATTTCTATTCAAACAAAAACTCAATCAAGTTATAAAACAATAACAAAAAAACATATGTTGAACAATTAATTTAGGCCGAAACAAAAACAGTACAAATGGCTTTCGCAACCAAAAACAAGAACACACAGTCGTCCTCAAGTAGAATTAAAAGAAACAACGAAGCACCTAGGTGTTATGATTGATTTAAAACTAACTTGGAAACCACATGTAGATCAACTTAGCATGAAGCTTTCTTCAGGCATCTACGTGATTCGCAGAATGAAGCAGTAAGTGGCCTAGACGTGGCTAAAGTAGCTTACTTTGCCCTTTTTGAATCACACCTGAGGTAGCCATAACTACATGGGGAGGAACAGCCAACACAATCATAGAAAGGGTTCTCAAACAACAGAAAAGAGCGATCAGATGCCTGGCAGGCATACAATATCAGGAAAGCTGCTGAGACCACTTCAAACAATTCAAAATCCTCACTGTAATATCACTCTACATACGTGAAACAATCCTGTACACAATAAGCTCACAACAAACAAGACACCAGGTCATACACCAATTCAACACAAGGCATGCCTCAAACTTTGCCTTGCCACCACACCATCTCAGCCTATTTGAAAGGAAACCAGCGTACAAAGGAGCTTTGTATTACAATCATCTACCTGAGCAGCTCAAGACACTACCACTGCCACACTTCAAGAACAAATTGACATCATAGCTACAGGACAGACCATTTTACACAGAAGCCGAATTCCTGAAAAAAACAGCACCAGTGGATCTTCCCCCCCTCAACCCTACAATGTTGTAACTAGTTTTAAGTTAACCATCAAAAATTTGTTGACGCATTACTATTCTCTATGCATTTTGTGAATAAAGGAATATTGTCTATTGTCTATGTTATAAACATATTAACTACTACTGTCATCCCTCCTTCTTCACAAGTCAAAATTATTTTGTTTTCTTCTAATCCTTTCCCTTGTCTTACAACATGAGCTGACATTTTTAACACTTCATCTGAAATACCATGAGTTGCAAAGTACTTTTTGAGGTGTGTGATAACAGTAATGCTACCTTTGCTCCTTAGATTTTCACACTCAAAATATCCTGAGTAACTATCATCAACTACTAAGAAATCATTACCTATTCAAAAACATCAGCTCCGATGAATTGCCATGACCTAACTGGTACTGCTTCTTGAAGAATCACATCTTAAGGTTTTATCTCGTTGATATTTTCTGCATACATTGCACCTTGCCACTTATTAGTCAATATCTCTGTAGGATTATTGTTATCAGCTGATATAGTCAAGTCATGAATCATCTGCTACTTGGTTTTTGAGGTATGGTGTTCCTAAAAAAATGTATCCGATAATGGCACCCCCTTCACGTCTCATGATTTTTGACTGTTTGTAAGAACAATAACATGTGTCATGTCACTTCAAGAGTCGATAGTGCTTGCAAACAAGAGGGTCTCAGTTCATCACTTGCACTTTTACAAGTGTAGCTTGCTTATCGAAACACTCCACAAAAGACCACAGGACAACTGCCATAAGTCCTTTTCTATTGTAGAAGATTACCAACAGCTTTGGATCGGTGGAGGTGTAATAGCAGAGAGAGAATAGAAAATCAAGTGTGGTGACAGAAGTACTGCCACAAAATAAAATGTAAACAAAAGGAGTTTTCTGCCAAACAAGAATTGAAATGAGACGTTTATTTGTCACATAGAAGTTACATAATTGTGATACATCACCAGTAAACATATGACACGTCAGTTTTTCACAACAAAATTCAAAAAGTGTGGTTTCAAAATGAAACAAAAAAGGACTGGAGACCAGAAAAAAGTACAAGAAAGGGCGGGAGAGCTATCATACACAGTTTTAGTTGGGGGAGAAATAAAGAAAAAACACGCTGACCAGCTGAGAGCAAGAGAGGATGCAACTGATCCACCTCAATGGAAAATGCAAATGGGACCTGAAAATGATGTTTTACATAGTTTCGGGAACTCCGCCTAAATTGGGTGGGGAGAAATGTAGGATTATTATCATCAGCTGATATATGTCAAGTTATGAATCATCTGCTATTTGGTTTGTTTACATTATTAATGCCTTTGTAAATATATAGTACTAGCTGTAACCCGCGGGCTTTGCCCCATTTAACTTCTTAATTTTCAAGATGATCTCGTTCGCATGGCTCAATCACGCCCTGGTTGAAGTTCGTTCGCTAGGCTCACTCACCTTTGGGTTGGAGCTCGTTCGCTACGCTCACTCACCTTTAGGTTGGAGCTCGTTCGCTGCGCTCACTTGCCTTCAGGTTAGCTCGTTCGCTATGCTAACTCGCCTCCAGGTTGAAGTTCGTTCGCTACGCTCACTCACCTTTTGGTTGCAAATTAGCTGTTGTCATAAATGTAAAAGAATTAATAGTGCTGCACCCTGTTGGTAATCCTTGTAACTTTAATGCTATTGAACATCATAGAACAGAACCAACTTGTATAATTGAAACAGCTGTTAAGATTCATTAATTCCATTTCTCATAAGGTTAACATGGGAAACTCCAGAGCCACTGGGGCGGAGCCGATTGGACGGATCGCGAAATTGATGGTGTATAAACCTATTCCATGACATATGTACCAAGTTTCGTGGCAATCGGTTCAGCGGTGTCTGAGTTTATCACTGCCAAACAAATATATATACAAACATCCTCTTTTATACTTAAAGATTGATTGAGTTTATTATTTATTGAAATATTGTGTGCACAATGTCTCTTCTGTATGTTCTATATGGCATTCTTACATTTTTTAATTTAAGCTAGTTGATATTGCTATCCTCCTTATTCAACAATTTAAAATCTTGGCCTAGAGCCTTTTCTGGAATAAAACTCTTCACAATCATAATTTGTCAGCCAATTTATTGTGATTTATTTTTTTCATTTATTGAATGTGCTCAATGTTGATAGGTCGTAGGCCTCCAGTATCTTACAGCTGTGAGGAGGATGAGACAGACACGAGCACGGCGTCGGACCAGAACACCGACCACTCGCCTACGGGCCGCCAGAGCAAGGTCAAGTGTAAGGGTGGTTATTGTAGCGACTCTGGGACCGCCTACAACCACCGGAGACAGAGGCTGCCTCCCATCGGTGTGTTCTGGGACATAGAAAACTGTCAGGTACGAAAACTAACCTAACCTGTTGTAACCCAACCCAAATGTAGACTAATGTAGCCTAAACTAATCCAACCTAACTAGACCGAACATAGAACCTGTATTTTATCATGTGTTCTGGGACATAGAGAACTGTCAGGTACAAGTAAGCCAACCTAATATAACAAAACATAAACAAAGATGTATGAAGTATATGTAAGTGATAGACCAGACTGACTGATGACATCACTGCATACTTGGCAGCGGTATGCTTACACAGGTTGATATGTGTTTTGCTGTTATATAAAGATGCTGTTATATATACAAAGATGCTGTTATAAAGTAGTGTACGCAACTCGCGTAAATAATGTTAACAGAGTTATGAATACCATGTCTTCGTTTTGACCAGGTTAACTGGATTAACCTGTGTCAGTTTAAGAATTAAAATCAAATATAAAATCACTTTGATAAAATAAAAATATCCTCAAGTGTTCTTGTCATATTGCAAATCAAATAAAAAATATTTATAAAATAACACAGCTTGGCGGGTGGAGTGGAAGGAGAGTCAGTTACTTGCTAAATTATCCTCCAGGAACTTTTTGATGGAGAAATTGAAACTGATTAAGATGATTTTTCGTTGTTCTCTCAAATTTTCTGGTCTCGAGGCTTCTCAGGCTCTCAGTCAGCTCATTGAACAGCTACTCTGGGAAAACCCCCAGACCCCTGAGATTCAAGCTGTCTGCTCTATATTCCGTCGGACTAGCCGGACCAACTACTCACCTAGGCTGTAGTTCCTGTTGTCTAGCTCATTTTCCAATTTGAATTGTTATGATGGTTTTGGTTAACCCAGATTTTGGTTTCAACAAGGTTTGGTTACATGGTTTTACTGTAATTATTCCAACTGATTTAAAAAAAACCAGAGTTTGTAGTCCCAGTAAGAGTTAATTACAGACTTTTAACTTCTCATCTTACCCTATCAGTCAGTTCTTTAAGATAGTTATTTTTTGGCATGTTTTTGAATTATTATTAAATTATCATAGTGGTATTTTCATGTTGCAGGTACCTAGAAACAAGTCAGCTGCAGGGGTAGCTCAAGTTATCCGAGAAGAATTTTTCTCGGGTTACGAAGAGAGTGAGTTTGTGGTGGCCTGCGATGCAAACAGAGAGTCACAACAAGTGGTGAATGAGTTGAATGATGCACAGGTCAGTAGACACTGAATGTAAGTTTTTTTTTATATTGGCCATTGACTTTGAATCATCAGATAGACAATCTATCTTCAAAGGTTGTCCAAGTAAACAATCAAACTCTGGAAGATGGTTTTGTGAGTAAAAAAAGAGAAAATCAAATATGAAATTTTTATCCAAAACGCTTTGTTTACCAGTTATCTGCTGTTTTGTATTTTTTAACACTAAAGTTTACTTCTTTGAACTTTTTCTACCAATCTTTATGAACATTGGCATTTATTTTGAAAAATGTAAAACCTATCTTAAAAAATTCAACTTTTTCATATATTTAAAATTCCACTACCATTATTCATGTGTATTTACTGTATAGTTAAAACAGTATAAGTGTCCTACAGTAGGCTAATTATATATAAGTTATTATACATATTTTTTTTACTTTCCATAAATATCCAAATTTCAATATGACCGCCTTTAAAGTTTTCAAAGTCAAATTCAATGAAAAGGAGGGTTTAAGTTTTTTTTTACAGACTGTGACACTTAAATTACTTGCTGACAATCCAATGGCATTTTGATTGTAAAAAATCGGTTGGTAAACATTTTTAAAATAATCTTTACTTAAGTAATTTTAATTGTGCAATGAAAATGTGTCTTTTTATATTAAGCTCTATATCACTAAAATTACCAAGTTTATTTATTGATAGGTTGAATTTTTTTACTACTCCTTTGGTGTTTTGTCACATAGTTTCACAAAGAAGATACTGATTTTCAGAATTTTTCAATCATGTATATATCATCTAATAACAAACAATGTTCTGACTTGTATGTTTACAGGTGTGTGTGTTGCACGTTCCGTCCCAGAGTAAGAATGCGGCAGATGAGAAGTTGAGGCATGGGATGCGCAAGTTTGCTCATACGCACGGCTCGGGCTCGGCTGTAGTGCTCATATCGGGAGACGTCAACTTTGCACCCGACCTCTGTGATCTTAGACATAGGTAAAGAGTTCTCTTGTTACTGCCGTACTATTTGTGATTTAGGTCTTTCATAAGCCTAAAATACTCATACTGTTGTCTTATAAAAAAAATGTATAATCAAGACATTGTTGCTAAATGTAGTAGATCCTTTCTTACTTATGGGTTTACCACTGCTTAGGTAAACGCCTCTGCCTAGGTAAAAATTGAGTTTGGATTATCCTCCCTTGATTTTAAAACTTGTCGGTTTAACTTATGTAGTCTTAAACCTATGTAATGTAATGTTAGACGTGAGTAACCTATGGAATCTTGAGATACCCATTCCAAACCTTATTGCAGTGATAATATAAAATCGTGTTTATGCAATTGTAGCAGATGAAAAGCAGGAAAAATATCTGAATTTTTCAAATATTTTACAAGATTACATAGGTACGGTAGTGCTATTTTAACTAACCTTTCAGGTCATATAACCTAGCACCTACCAGTGAAGATTTGTTTAGAGAGAGTGTAACTTTCGGTGTGTGTGTGTCTGTAGGTCTTTTTGAGTTAAACATTATTTTTTATGTAAAAACATATTTCTTATCTCCAGAAAGTTATATTGTCTAGAGATTTCCTTTCTTTATTCAACATGGTGAGTGTGTGACAGGTATTTTCTAAGTTAATAATTTCATTTTTAGTTCAACACTTTTTATTTACAAAAGTAATTTTATTTAGAAATTCTTTTCTTCATCCCATGTGTAGGAAGTAGGTCTAACTGACCCCTCAGGGTAATGTTTAGTGTTGTTTTGGAGAAGATTGATTTCTAGTTTTTTCCTTCTACAGATTCAACAATAATTTGAAGTTATTGTGGTAACATTTTGACTAATTTGTTCCAGGTATAAGATATATGTGATACTAGTCCATAATGATAGCTGTTCTGAGTCGCTTATCATGTGTGCCCATGAGACTTACCGCTTCAGTAATCTGGTAGCCAACCTGCCGATGAGAAGCAATGTCAGCGTACGTCTACTTATACCTGTTCTTGTACTATTACGTTTTTATTGTGTAGGTGTCCGTGGCTATCTCCTAAATTGGGACGGAACCAAAGTTGTTTAAATTTAATTCTCGGAAAAAAATTTAAGTAAAAAATGATGGACGAGCAATTTTGTCATTCGAGTAAGAGATAAAATCATTTCACTTCCTATCCTGTCCGATGAAATCACTGTTATGTAATCTTCAGTTTAGGGATGGTCAAGTCTCGAAATTTCGGGAAATTTTCGGGAAATTTTAAATCTCGTTACACGAGACGAGATTTCATTTTGGCCGAGATTTTTATCGAGACGAGAATAAAAAAAAAAAAAAAAAATTAAAAACGCCTGCAGAAAGTCAATGCAATACCCGCAATACAGGAGCGTGTTGTAGTTGCGTTTCCTTTGCGAAGGCGTTCTTATTTAATTAATTCTTTAAATGTAAATATTACTTTAATTATTTTAATAATATTACTTTAATAACATTTGAGAAGTTTTGTTAAGTGTAAGTAGTGTGAGGTTTATTAGCCTTCTATAAAAAGTCAAAACAAGTAACTATTTTATGAAAATTAATATTGCTTTTATTCTATGATTTATTTTATTTTAGGATAAGTTGAACTCTATCCTAACTGATATCACTATGTTTCCTAGGCATTTTTAATAAGTTAGGCGTGATTAATAAAAAAATGTTATGCTGATGTTTTTTAATAAAAGATTGTAAATATTCTTGCCTATTATCATTATTTTTGTATTTAAACAGTCATCTAACAATGTTACAAAATCAGGTAAAAATTTTGAACGTGCATTTCCCGTTGTGTATGAGAAGGGAAATCCCGTCTCGATCTCGTCTCGAAATTTTATGAGAAATAAAAAATCTCGTCTCGTCTCGTCTCGAACTAAAAATCCAATCTCGTCCATCCCTACTTCAGTTATAGATCAAATATAGGTGTAACACAATATCTTTGCTTAAAAACATAGATTATATTGTCTTTATAAGACACAAATTGTTTGGTGAATGTTGATACTATGTTGAATCAAACAAATTCAATTGGAAAAAATACTACTTAGAAAATTATCCAAGCATTTTAGTCAGAAAGTAAAGTAGTAAATACTGTGTAAAAATTACTAGATATTTTTGGTATTTTGTCAACAATTCGATACTACTAAATAGTAATATTAACAATTAAAGATTTTAAAGTAGCCTGTATGTTGATTCTAACTTAACCTAACCCAATCCTAAACAGGATTTTTATTTTTAGACGGGTTAATTTTTCAATCTGAAATAATAATAATGACAATAAACTAACAGAAAAGGTCTGATTTGTAAAACTCTAATAATAAACCCAAAATAATTATTTGAATCATCAGTTACTTAAATAAGCGCAAAGACTAAAAATTACAAAGTTTACATTTTCTTGTGAATATTAAACAGACAAACCAGCCGTCGGAAGTGACGGTGAGTGGGCTGCCATTGCATCATGACGCGGGGAAGGTGAGAGCTAGACTGAAGCGGTTGGCGGAGAACTGTGGAGGCAGGGTGGGGCTAGTGGTGGGGACACGGGCTACAGTGCAGTTCAGCTCCATGGAGTTTGGCATCAGGTTAGTTGAACGCCTGTTGAATTGTAAACCTTGGACTCTTAGAGTAAAGCTAGGTTGTTAAATTGTCCTGAGAATGAAATTACTTATTTATTGCCAAATAAAGTGCCTAGGGACCTAAATTTGCCTCTTCTAGAAGATAATATAGGGTGCCCAGTTAAAGCAGGGATATTTACATTAATTTTTATGACTAGGGAAAAGTGCCTGAATTGTATGCTAATTTTGTATGCAACCAATAATTTTCCGAAAATCACAAATGGCCTATCCATTAAGATCGTTCTGTTGGTTCTTTAAGCTTTTTTTGTTGTTGCCATGTGTAGTTAAATCCGAAATCTAAGAGACAATGAAAATTTTGCCATTTTGTATAGGGGAGCCTGCTCCTCCAATCCCAAACAAAATTAATCTCAACTTAAATAATTTTTAGGGTTTTTGTGAGGAGGAATTTTTTTAGGCTTATCTGAATGGGAAAGAGTTCAAACTATCACAAAAGACTCACAACTTTACTCTATAAACAGGTCTCCTGAGTCTTCTGTCTTCTTCTTAAAACCTGAAGAAACTCTGTCTTCCTTAGTTGAAAATGCTGTCAGTGACAGTGTGAGATATGTTTTGTGTATAAATGTAAAGTTCCGTGGCTCAAAGTGTGTACCAGTTCGGACTCCTTTCCCATTCAGATAAGCCTGCTTTTCCCAAAAAAAGTTCTAAAAACCTAGGCCCTTGTGCTCTTTGTTACATCCATTAACTTAGTGATGGGTCGGTACCAATTTATAAATGTCGGTACCGGTACCGGTTCCTAACCAAAGTCGATTCTCGGTTCCAATATTATCGGTACCTACCCCATTTAATTTTTTTTTTATTTTTAAAACAAAATATCCCTTTTCCAATTTTTAACATTGATTATTTTTCATTAGTGTAGGATGGTTATATTGAGGGATTAAGAGAATAAAGCCAATTTGTACAAAAAAACATTTGAACAACCAAACACATAAAATCAAAACAAATACCGTACCAGAAGTGGGCCTTTGTATATGTATGTATATGTGGGCCGTAAGTGTATGGGCCTATTTGTTGAAATGATTCACTGCTAAACCAATAAATTTATCATAGGCTACTAACCTTGGACATAAAGGTGGCTCCGGAAACTTGTTATAATATCTTAACTGCCTGTTAAGTTCTAACTAAATATTTAGAAGGAAGTAATTTTGAGTCATTTTGTACCTATAGCCTGTATTAAGTTAATTTTAGGCTACAGTATTAAGGAAAATTTAGAACAAAAGTATTTATGGAAAGGATGTTTTGAACAAATATTTCTAGAAAATAGGCCCACATTTTCATTTGAGGTTACAGTTTAAGGTGCAGGCTTTTTGAAAAAAAAAGAAAGATTTAACAAAAGCTTTGTTTGGTCACTGTGATGGTTTTTTGTAGGCCTGGAGCCTGTACCAATATTAGGTATTTCATTAGACTAAAAGTGATTTTAGACCCCCCACCTCTAAAGATAACAATAAATACACAAATACGAACATTTAATTGACATTGATAGTCCTATCACAGGCACACGACTTGGACGGTCCCGGCGCAGGTAGTAGACATTGATAGGCCTATCAATGTCAATTAAATGTTCGTATTCCTGTATTTATTGTTTACGTGTGACATCGATATCTTTGTTTTTTTAACCCTGACGATGCCGCATTTACGGCAAAACATGTAGGTTGTTAACATGTTAACCTCAATCAACATTTAGATTACTTGAAGAGGTAATTGTACCATAATATTATAGAACTGTATGAATTAAATAAAATAATCTTGTAACTTGTAACTATTATTAATGGTATTAATAATCAGATAAAGAAAAGATATGGTTGGTTTTAACGTGTACCTAATAATTTTGTTGAGTCCAAATAAATAATTTATTTTATCCAGTCTTTATAAGCTTGCATTATTTTATCTTCTGCAACAATTGCTGTCGATGTTTGCACCACACTATCAGCTGACGATAGAGAGGACAACTTTCTTAAACAAACACTGAAATAATGATCCTATAGCCTGCTATTGATAATATTTCATGATAAATATGCACTTTCAAATAGCCTTAAGTGAAAAATAATCATTGTGGTTGACAGTTTGAATTTTGTAAATGGGTAAATAAGAATATAACCAATTAATTTGGTAACAAATGTATCAGTACTGACATTTCACCATCGATTCTCGGTCCCTGTACTTTTCTCAAGAACCGGTGAAACCAACATTTGGCATTAAGTACTGACTCATCACTATCCGTAACCTAAAGTGAATAATTGTTAGTATGGATTCTCATGGAATTTTTTCAGTAATAGGGTTTTTTGTACTCTTATATTTCTGCTCAGTTTATAAAATATATAAAAATCAAATTGCAATGCTCTTAATATACCTTGTCAATTCAGACTCCAAATGATGAAATTTGTTATTGCAGGGCTCAGAAGAGGATGGACGGAGAAGATGTTTTTGGTTCTCAGATTGCTGTGAGCCATCCGGTTATTGTCAACAACCCACAGCGCTCCAATGAGCAGTCTCCAATCAAATATTTTAGTAAGTGTTTACAGTATTCTGAAGTTTTCCCACACCGAAACTGAAATGCTAACCATTAAGCCTGGTTAAACAGGGTAAACTTAGTAGCCAACACCGATAATAATTTTCATTACATTCTCCCCTTTTCATCAAACGTAGGCTCTAACTGGGAACCGCTTTACACACTAAAGCTTGGCCTAGAGAGTCCATTGGCGTGAAATGAACCCCAGGACCTTGGGGACCAAAGTCCTAATTTGTACGACTGGACCAGCTTACTCCCTTAACACACCCCAAATTAGATTTATGTAGCCTAAGTCCATGAAAAATATAAATAGCTTATATGGGAAATTTGCTAATACCACAACTCTTATTTTATTCACTTTTGTTTCATCACTTTATACCCCACCCTTTCTCTTTTGATCCCTTATTGGCCATCCTGAATATGAATTTTTTAATAAGTGTGTTAATAATTCAAACTTAAAATTTACAATTATTGTCTTTGTTCATCTGAGTGAGTCATAAACATGTAATGAAACCTACTGCATTGTTTTTTTTTTTTTTGTTAAGATGTTCACGAAGTTGAGAGACATATTAAGTATACAAAGAATTCCATACTTTTTTGCCAGTCTTGTATTTTGGTTTGTGGTTATTATTTTCTCACAAAAAAGTTTACATTTAGAATTAACAATTGTTTTACTTTTGCAGAAAAACCTGTACTCAACGGATTCAAGTATGAAGACAAAAGAGTTCCTCACGTTGAAGACCAGAGGAGTTTTCACAAGCCTATTCCTCCGTTCAACAACAGTACAAATCAGTGAGTGTTTTTTAGTCCTTTAAAGTTTTGTACGTCACGGTATTTCTTGATGCATGGCCTATTGGTGCAACCAGAAAACAGTTTCAACAAACTTGGAAAATAAGTCTTTGTACAATTCCTTGAAGGAAACAAATGTAATCAATAAAATTATGCAAGTTAGCTGAGTGTTTGTTGTGCTCGCCAATAAATCTGAAGCTTGCTTGTTGAATCCGGAGCACAATTGATTGTAGTCCAAGGGGTTATCTGGCTTCTAAACTAATAATGATTTAACAAAAAAGTAATATAAAAAAAAGGTTTTAGTTTGAATAAAAATTATATAGCAAACAAATACATCAAAAAATTATCAATGAATAAGTAGATAAATCATTGTAACTATCGCTAGGCCTACTCTCGTAATTTTTCACTTCATATTATGAATATTTGTATTCTAACTAGTTTTTCATTTTAATTGTTTATAAAACAAAACTAATTGCTCAGTGTGGTAATTTTTATTAATATCTTATCAAATTTAATCAAGTATTTTCTATTGGTACTCTACTGGCAACTGGGATACCTGATGTCAGTAGATAAACATTACCATATAATTTTATTACATATTTTAAGATACTATATGCAATGCAAAATGCAATATTTGAAAAAGTTGATCAAATTCCCAAAAAATATTTATCTAGAAAGAAGACAAGAAACTTTTTTACATCATTACACCATTGCCCAATAATTGCAATACTTAACCTTGATTCATACAGTTTCACAAGATGTTTTATTTTCCAGTCAGAGCAACGGAGTGTTTAAAAAACCATTCCCTGTCAGGAATTTATTCAATCAAGAAAACGTTCCAGTGAATTCTAAATTCAACCAACCAACATGGGAACGAACACAATCACAACAGGTTTGTATATTTGCTGATTTTATTTCACGTTAGCTTGAAAAAACAATAAACAACAGGAATCTTTAAATTAGGATAGGACATGTTTAAGTAATTTCCTACCTAATTCCGGGACAAAGATGGAGGCCTGAAATTACCGTTAATCAACGGGACAATTTAATATCCTCCTTCTCTTCAGACAGACTGGCAGGTGCTTGAGCAGTAACCAGATGTTTCGCGGTACCAAGGCGCCACTTTCCTGCTCTCTCCATGGCTGCGCTCTCTCCCGCACTCCCCCCTCACTCCCGCACCTACTCCTCTTCTGCGCCACCCCCTCTCCCGCGCCCATCCGGCCTCTCCTACGCTCCCTCCTCGACGTTTCACGCTCAACACTACCTTGTCTTTATTTATTGTTTATATATTGTTCTTTATTTATTACCTAACGTTGTCATGGTCATATCTTCAAAGACAGGTGGCGGATATATCCGCTGCTTTTCTACACATCCGCAGATGGGTAGCGGATATATCTGCATAGTGAAAAACGAGTAAAAAATTATTTTGACAGTATGAAGTGTTCCATTGTGTTTATTTTATGTATACATGTATAACAAAACACAAATAAGGAAAATTAATTTTTATTTTTTCCTATAATTTTTCCCCGTTTGATGACACGATTTCGCCCGTCCAGGAAGGTTTAAATTAAGTAGACCTATTAATAAAAAAGTTAGTAAAAGTTTTGCTTTTAGGAATCGATATGCAGGATTTGATTTTTCAAAATATGGTTTTTGTTCTGAAATGCTAATTTCTGGGTTTGACCATCACCAACTATAGTCTTTTCACAAAATTTAGGAGTTATGAGAAGTTCCCCCACTACCTTTTTTGCTTAAAATATATTTAGCTGCTGATAGATGTTTTGGTAAACATCAGCTGTTGACTTATTGTTTTAAAGGTAGGATCAAGTGAGGGGATGGATTTTGTACCCTAAACCGCCTAAATTTTATGAACGGAGGTTAGTTGGTAGCTCTCCTACTGACCAAGAGCATCACTTGCAATCATATGAAAATAAATTACAAACAAAACTCGTTACACTGATCATCATTGACGTCTATATAATGTTAACAGAGTTTTCCAGGATTTTAAAACGGTAAATTCCACATAGTAGTTTTAATTTTATATTTTTTTTAGAATGGACTTCCAGTTGCTTCATCGTACCCAGGCAAACAGAACAGTGGAAGTAATTTTCCTGCTTATGAGCCTAGGACAAATGAAGGTAAATATTCTGTTTTTAAAAGGTTGAATATTTTCATCGCAGTTTTTTACTTTTCACTTCTGAATAAGCAACATTACATATGGAATAAAAGCTGTGAAAATTAAAGATGGTAAAATATAGTCTTTTTAATATAATTCTCCTTCTCAAGCTCGAATTGAGTTACATCCTACCATAAAATGACTTAATGGTGAAATTTTCTTAAAGTGTATTGGTCTCAAACCACGGTTTTTACATGAAGTCTAGTTTAAAATAGTTACTTTCTCATTGAGTGCAATGCATTAATGATTAATAATTGTAATGTAAGACAACACATATTAAACACTTTTCTAATACAAGAATGTTTTATACAGGATACTCTAATGGAAGGCATTCGCTAGATTCCATGCTAGATTTTGATCCTGACCGAGAAGAGAGAGAAAAAGAGTCAAACGCAACTTTTGAAAACTGGCTTAGAAACAGCACCAGCAATTTGGTAAGTGTTCAAAATTGTGTTTTTTTGTGAATGCTAATCCTACCTTATGTTTTTTGTCTTGCATTGGTTTTGGTTGAAAACCAAATTTATGTATATAAGCTTGGTTATTATGTTAGTTTTCTAATTTGTTGTTTTCATTTTACTAAAAATAAGTTTTACCTTTGTCTACCTTTTTAGCGTGCTCATAAAATGAAATGTTTTAGTAATCTCAAATATACATTATATTAGAAAATAATTTAATAATGTTTCCCAGTGGTTAACGTACTGTTATTTGAATATTGTATTTTCCCCCTTAATTTGGGTTTTTAAGGAGGAGTAAATAATGTCTATGTGTTCTATAATAGCTAAACAAGCACACAAAGCATCACACACCACTAGGCTATACTTATCCGTCATTCATATTTGGTCAAATTAATTTAGGCTGCACTCCAATCTTAATTGGTAATTTGTAAACTACTCATTCTATTGGTAAGAATATAAGCAATTCAGACTTTTTAGTGTGAGTACTATGTCATTGCCATTGTCTTAATTATCTTCCTCTGGCAGGACAAGAAGGTTGTTCCCGTGGTGAAGGTGAACACTACCATCCCGCCTCCGCCCATTGTCAACCTCCCAAGGAGAAATGACAAGTATTTCTTCCACCCTATTGACACCATGACTAACGGACACCCAGTAAGCTCCCCATCTCCTGCATCTTCCTCTGTGAGTAGACTTGGCGAGGCTGATATTTCCTAGCAAAATAAGTTTGAGACCGGAATCTTGTATTGTTTAGGGGTCTTCAGTCACAACATTTTTGCTTCGGCTAGGGTAAACAATGTTGACCTTTAGGTCTTGGGTTCAAAATCAGGCCAGGCTAAAATTTGGATGTTTAAACTGCTATTCTACAATTGCCTTTTAAAAATATTGTACATATTCTCTTGTGATAAATCTAAAAATTTGAACGTTTCTGCGAGAATGGCAAAGTTGTAAATTTTCTATCGCACAATTGTTTCTGGGATTAAAAACGGTGCCGCTCACACAACTCTAATATACATTGTCTTACCCAAAGCCATTCTCTACCCGAGATTTGGTACCTCCAAATCCTCCAGGTACCTCGAGCCTGGAAATACCTGGAGGTACCTCGAGGTACCTGCAGGTATTCAAGGTAATTCCAGCCCGAACTGATCTCTGGTAAATATATGGTCTTGTCCAACTCAAAGATTTCGGGGACTTGCGTCCTGCAGCTCCCTAATAATTAATAATATGAAGATTGCAAAGGAACAGGGTTCCCACGGACCTGGAAAGTCAGGGAAACAGGTATATGGTCAGGAAAGGTCAGGGAAAGTAAAAAAAAAAAAAAAAATGCTGCAAGTAAGGGGAAATTTATGAAAATAATGTAATATCAGGGAAATTTACCAAAATCTTATTAGATCGCATTAATTTTTTGCTTGATTAGCTATGTTGAAATGAATTAGATGCTTCCGGTAGAGATTACTAAAATACTGAAAAACGTGCGGTTAATTTAATTTTTATTTTCAATTTTTGTTGCGCTTAGAACTGTAAGTATTTAGAATTTGTTTTCTTATTTGGTATCGTATTAATAAAAAGAAGGCGTAAGTGTGGCTATAGGGGTAGTAGAGCTTGCATTAAATTAATAATTGTTTTTTTTTACTCATGATAATATAAGCAAACTTGCAGTACCTAAAATATGCCGTGGACAGGGAAATTAACAGAAAAACAGTCAGGGAAGGTGAGAGAAAGTCAGGGAATTCACTAAAGATTGCAACTTTGGAGTACTCTTAGTCACGATAAGATGATCATCATTTAAATGAACGCTACAGATTCTAGAATGCGTTTTGATACAAAATCCTGAAACATTGAAAATTAACGATTCCTCAATACCAAATTCATCATAGGTTTCGAGGGATCGCTACATTGCTAAACTTCCAATAATGGGTTTTGTTTTATTCTGGGCATGAAACTAAGCTGTACCTCTTTGCCTATGTACAGGATTCGTCAGAACCAGCCAGATGCTGGATACACAGTGGTGTACAGAGTAAAGACTGCTCATTGGCCAGTGTCACTGTCCGTCTAAGTGATTTCTCCACCAGAATCATGGCGTTGGTTACGTCTCACAATAACAGAATACCCCTCTCCAGGTAGGTTAATTTATTATTCAACACCACTGGGATTTTTTTGTAGGGGAACAGAACCTCGTTTAAAGTTCTGGTTGTGCTGTCTAGTAGTATCTTTTGTCATAGCATCACTAATTGAAATGACGAATGGTATGTTTTCAAAATCAGTGCCGTTGCTAGGAGCTTGTCAAGGAGGGGACCTTTGGGGAGGTATCCACATACTTCAAAAAAAGAAGGGGGTTCCAGGTATCACAAAATTTGGATTTTAAAGCCATTTTAAAACTAGAACTGGATCAAAAACCTGGATCAAAAACCTTATGTGACGTTTTTAGGACGAAATGTATGTTGACATTTATTTTTCAGGGTCTAATCAATGAGGGGGGGGGGGCTTTAGTCCCTATATTTCCCCCCTGGAACCGCCTCTGATCTAGGGTAAGGAATAGTTTTACTAATTGTAAGCCGAAGTAGCTAACAGAAAGTTTCTCCGCTAAAAGTTCTCCCTGTGTTGCAGTCTGCGGGATTGTTATGAGGCACAGTTTGAGATGATGGCATCAGACTCCAGGAGTGTAACCTTAGAACACTTGGTGACCTGTGTGTGCAGTGTGGAGGTGGTTAAGTCCTCCAGTGGCAAATATCTCCGGCTGGCGACCAACGTCTCCCCTACCTTCTCGGGTGAGTAACTGATAGACTGCTTGTCAAACTTTTACCACAGATACCCACAAAACATAACCTTGACATTTTTTCTTATGTAGAAAATTATGTAGGTAGATTGAAAAAAACGTCATGTCAAGTTTAAATCTAGAGTAATCTTTAGTGTTGCCAGATGTAGCCACAATTTTGACAAGAGCTAGACCCTATATAAACAATGTGCAAACTCAAAAGGAGGATATTTATTTAATGTATTCAAACCAACGCATTTAAACAACATGTTATTAAATCTAGCGGAGACGGATGTTTGGTGTTATCTTACTATTGAGGTCAGGAGGATTTCTGGAGTCAGTAGTGTACTAGGCTATTTCCCACTCAGTAGTTAAATCTTAAATTAGTCTTTAATCTGTGAAAAAAATGTGTATGGAAATCATGTGCTCAAGAAATTTTATATTGTTCCAAAGTGTAAACTAAATTGTACTTAAGAAACAAGAATTTATTTGGTTCCAACTTAATTGAATGTAATGAATGTTATAGTCTGGCAGTAAATAGTATTACTAATATACAGTGTGAGGCAGTAAAACGTTTTATGGCACGATTTTTGAAAAATCACAAATAATTCTCTTAGAAAAAAAGATATTTTTGTACATAAATCTTAAGTATATGAGTGGAAATGAATCTTTTACCCTAAAATCTAAATTTAAAAAATTTCAATAAAAATGGGTTCTTGATTTTGCTGACATTTTTCTGAGATAAACCCACCCTTGATGTTTTGTAGCAACTGCAAAACGTCTGAAATAGTTTTATAGGGCTTTGTGGTGCTAGCAGTGGCTTCAAAGTTATTTACCCAAAGGAGAATGTCTTTCCTTGAGGATGTCTTTCAGCCCGTGGGGGTACACTGAACCCTCAACGGAAAGGGCGTTGAGCACTTCTAAACCACACTATCTGCATTTTTGTAATATGCCTTTACAGCATACACATTTTGTGCACTTGTCCATTGCTCCATGGCTACTAAAATTTCCACTTGTCTAGAAGCTTAAGGTAGTTTCCCCTCTATTCTTATAACCCTCCGTCATCTGAACCCGAAATTGTGCCGTTTCAATGCCTCATCCTGTATTATGTAATATACCAATCTCCCATTGTGATGACTATAGTCAACCTTACTACCGTATTATTTATAATTTTTAAATGAGCTAACAATCTGAGAACTTTTCAGATTCACCGGTGATGGAAGAGCCTTTGCTCCAGTTGTCCAAAGATCTTCAAAACCTGTTGAAGAATCAGCCAAGGTGCCAGATTGCGTTTGACAATGTGATTGCTGTATACCACAAAGCCTATGGGAAGCCATGCAAACTTTCTGACTACGGATGTACCAAATTGGTACAGCTGGTTGACAAACTTTCTCACACAATTCAGGTTGGTTTTTGTGTAACTTTGTGACAGAGACTTATTATTGTTTCCTCCTTAAATATTGGAAAGTTTGAATGATGAATGATTGAACAAATATTTAATTAGCCTATACGAGTCTGGTTTAATATTAATCAGTATATTTTAATTGAAGTCATTGAACCTAGAAATAGCCCTTTCAAAGACAAATAAATTAATTGTGCTTTATTTCATCCTTGAACCTAACTTCATGATTGGTATTTCAATCATTACAAGTATGATTTAAGAATATGACAATCTAAACTCAACACATTATTGTTTTTATAAAGATAAAATAAATAACACAAGTTGATACAGAGAATAACTGTTCATCAAGTTGAATAAATGAAGGGTGCACGGGAAAAACGATCCATAGTAAATTTTTTTTTTAGATATTTACATGACAACAATGCTCTTGCATTGGACTATCACAAAGCAGTTCAAAAACCAGCGAAAAATGATCGTAGTCAGAGTAAATCTCATTTGAATTCTAGCTATACAATGGAAAAACGATCATAGTCATCTAAAACAAGGGAATATCGATCATGGTCTTTGCGTGCCAGGGAAAAACGATCACAGTCGTCCATGTGTTGGCATTACTGTTTTGCACTAGAAATCATTATCAGTGAGTGAGTTGTTTATATTATGCTGTTCTCATTTTGAGGTTATCAGAGTGCTTTTCATTATTTAAATAGTATTTGATTGACTAACTAACAATAAGTGATTGATTAACAATGTCGAGTGAGGAAGCAGATGATCCTGGTATTCCAAGTCATGTTATTTAATTTTTTATTATTTCTTCACTGTGTCATATCAAAACACGGTCTATATTATGGTAAGAAAAACGTATTAAAAGTGTACAGAAAAAATACATGTAATTACTGTGTAAAATGTATCAGTAGGCCTAGGTGACGTTGTTCTATTGCTAGTGGGTATAGGCCATGTTCTGGAAAAATGATCATAGTCAGATGACTATGATCGGTATTGCATTAGAAGGTATGTATTTGTTTGGGTTTTTATTTTCTTTACATACTATAAATAAGAAAATGATTTAAAAAAATAGTACAATACGTACATAAATGTACTCACTAGCATATTATGTGTCCTGAACTTGAATAAAAAGTAGTTTTAGACTCCTTAACACTAAATAAAACCTTAAAATCGTGTTTCTGGAAAAGTTTGTTTGTATGACTATGATAGTTTTTCCCGTGCGCCCTTCAAATGTTAATGTTCCAAGCCAGTGATAAAAAAATTGTGAATGTGATAATAATGTAGCCTAAATTCACTCTAGAATACAATATTATACTCTAGAATACTTTCTTTATATTTCTTTAAATAAAAAAATATATAAAGTATTTGATCCTAACCCAAAATTACTGTTGACACTCCTATAATCATGAGTCTATATTTTAACATTAAGAAAGGGCGATAGAAAATGTGTTGACACCACATAATGTATGTTTTTATATTCCCAAAAAACTAGCGGATTCCTTCAATTGTTTTTACTTAGTCATGTTCTGTGTACAGGTGTTGGGAGAAAAGACAGACAGAGTGTTGACGCTGACTCACCGCGCTCAAGTGCAGCGCTTCACCTCTGACTTGTCTCAAGTGCTGTTGTCTACACCAAGTGGACAAATAACCATCCGTGAACTGCCTCAGATGTGGTTCACAACTTTAGGTATAGTACATCTCCTCTATACGCTAAAGTATTCGGTTAAATGGCATAAGATACAAATCAAAATCTGTATTTACAAATGTTTAGTGTATAGTAAAATGTGTGGTCTTTTTCAACAATTAACTTTATCTCTTTTTACATAGGGTATCTTCAGCTTTTCCGGATATCTTGAAAAATCTTGAACATCTTTCATGGTCTTGTTTAGAATTAATTTTCATCTTCTGCAATCATGGCAAAATCTTAAATGTGTGCCTCAGTCTTGTAGACCTGACACCATCATTTTCTCCCGTGGTCATAACCACCACAATCGCGGTGTAATCTTTGCTAAATATGATCACAAAATTGTCGCAATAGTAAACAATTGGCTTGACTCGACCTATTTTCTGTAAAATACCCTGAATAATGATAACAATCGGATTATCTCAATGTAGTACAGGCCTAAGTGATTGGGATGATTGGAGGTATTGTGTACTTCATTATATTTTATCGTATGTAACATTGGTAAGTATCACCAAACTTGCTGTAACAACAATTTTGCATAGTTAACTTAAACATTAATTAGGACCTATAAACTTTATTTCTTAAAATTGGTTCTAAAAAGAGAAAATTCCCGTTGTATGGGAGCTCTGAGCCTTGTTGCTGTTGAGCTCTATCCGTGAGGTTTTGCTACAAATCTTTACAAATGTCCACAGGACGTACAGTGGAGCCCAAAGATTACGGTTTATGCTACCTGGAGGATCTGCTGGGCTTTGTACCTGCCAACATTGCAGTAGTGACAGGAGAATCAATATCACTGCCTTCTACATCACAGCGTACTGGGGAGCAGTCCAGGCGACTGGAGCTGTTGGTTACACAGGTAACTTTAATCTGGTGTGTCAATACATGTAAATGTTGATGAATTTCATATTTTAGCGAATTTTCCATAGGGAAATTACTTTTGTTTTGAGGTCCCCTGAGGCGAAAACACCACCCGTTCAAATTTGGGGTCGTCTGCAAATCTGAACCAAAATTTGGTCGGTACAAAAATCAGTACGGTACGCAGCTACCACAGGGTGTATACCAACCGGGAAAACCGGGAGAACCGGGAAATAACCTTGAATTTGAAGGGACCTGGAAAAAACCGGGAAAAAGCCGGGATTTTTGGACCGAATCCGGGATTTTTATTTTAGCCCCGGTAGAAGATTGTAGTCGTAAAATGCGTCTTGCCGCGGTTGCGGGCGACGACGATGACGTTTCCGTGACCGCGGGAGACGACGATGACGTTTCCGTGACCGCGGGAGACTACGATGACGTTTCCGTGACCGCGGGAGACTACGATGACGTTTCCGTGACCACGGGAGACGACGATGACGTTTCCGTGACCGCGGGAGACGACGATGATGTAGACACGGCCGCGGGAAATATTCATGATTTTACCGAGATCGCGGACGATGACGTTTCCGTGACTGCGGGAGGCTATGATGATGTCCACACGGCCGCGGAAGATATTCGTGATTTGCCGTGACCGCGAAAGACGACGATGATTTTGTCTTCACGGCCGCAGATGTTTATGATTTAGCCGCGATCGCGGACAACGACGATGACGTTTACGTGACCGCAGGATCAACGACGATGTTTACACTGCCGCGGGAAACATTCATGATTTTGCCGAGATCGTGCACGACAACGATGACGTTTCCGTGACCGTGGGAGTCAATGATGGTGTCTACACGGCTTCGGAACATTTTCGTTATTTTGCCGTTTACGTGACCGTGGGAGTCAATGATGATGTCCATACGGCCGCGGAAGATTTTCGTGATTTTGCCGCGATCGTGGATGACGATGATTACGTTTTCGTGATCGCGAGAGATGGCGATAATGTATACATACCGCGGGAGATGTCCAAAATTTTTCTATGGTAACGTAAGACTGTGATGACGTTTACCTCACCGTGGGAAGCGACCACACGACCGCAGGAAATATTCAGGATTTAGCCGCCGTTGATAATGTGTTCATAAAAAATGAAGATAATATTCATGATTTTGCTGCTATCGAGAGAGACGATGTTTCCGTGGACTTAAGTAATGATGTTGGGCCAACAACCCACCTCTTAAAAACACCTCGTTACGAAACACCTACACAACGCCTCGGAATCAGGACAGGAAAAACGGAACGGACCCCAGCAATCAAGACGGCCTTGCAGATTCGGAACTTGGAATATTAGAACCTTAGCGATACCAGGGGCATCAGACATTTTATCAGATGAACTACATAGTTACCAATTAGATCTAGTCGCCTTACAAGAGACACGATGGCCCTTGGCAGGAAAAATAAATACTAAAAATTATATTATTTACTATAGTGGATGTGATACAGAGAGATACCAAAGAGGAGTGGGATTTGCTGTGAGTAGAACATTTGAAAATTCTGTGATATTTTTTGAAGCAAAAGGAGAAAGATTGTGCAACATTAGACTTAAGGGAAAATTTAAAAATATATCTGTAATAAATGTATATGCACCAACAGAAGATGCAGATGACGAGGAAAAGGACAGTTTTTATGAACTGGTTGAAGAAGAGTGGAGAAAGTTACCAAATTATGACATTAAAATATTAATGGGGGACTTTAATGCAAAAATTGGAAGAGAATATATCTGGAGAGATGTTGCTGGAACGGAAAGTCTGCATGAAAATAGTAATGAAAATGGAGTAAGATTACTTAGCCTTGCGGTGGCAGGAGAAATGAAAGTTATGAGCACATCTTTCCCTAGAAAAGATATTCATAAAGCAACTTGGACAGCACCAAATGGTGTCACAAAGAACCAGATTGACCATGTTTTGATTGATCGTAGACACTCAAGAACCATCACAAACGTTAGAAGTATTAGAAAAGCAGAATTTGGAACTGATCATTATCTAGTCTTAGTGAACATACACCAAAGATTGAACACTGAGAAGAGGAAAACGTCAGATCAAGTTGCCAGGATTGATATCGAATCATTTAAAGACAAAAGAAAGGAGAAAGAATATCAAATTAAGTTAAAAAACCGATTTCAAGCATTAGAGTCACTAAATGAAGAACCTCCCCAAGAAGAAAACACTGTAGAAAAAAGCTGGGAAAACTTAAAAAATTCTATTCACAAATGTGCAGAAGAGGTCTGTGGAATAAAGGAAAAAATAAAAAAGAAACCTTGGTTCGATGAAGAATGTAGTGATGCAGTAAGAAAAAGAAAAGAAGCAAAAGAAATGTGGATAAATAATCAACAAGATCACCTAAAGGAAAACTACAAAACACAAGCCAAAGAAACTGTAAAAATACTGAGGCGAAAAAAGAGAGAGTGGATCAACAGAATATTAGAAAAAGCAGAAGATGATAGAACAGCAAACAATGCAAGAGATTTCTACCGTTCCATTCGTTTCTTTAAAAAAGGCTTCACCCCAAACACCTATGGAATCAAGGATAAAACGGGAAAAATCATAATCCAAAAAGAGGAAGGAATAAAGGTTTGGAGGGAGTACTTCCAAGAGCTTTTAAATGGAGAAATTCAGGAAAAAGAAGACGAACCATGTGAAATATACTATAATGTACAACCCCAGATTACCCCCCCAACATTAGAAGAAGTAACAAGAGCAATAAAGGACATGAAAAACAATAAAGCGCCGGGAGAAGATGGAATAGCAGCAGAGATGTTAAAAGCAGGAAAGAAATACGTAGCAGAACAAATTCACAAACTGATCACAAAAATATGGGAATCAGAAAACACACCGGATGAATGGAAAGAAGCGTTAGTAGTCCCCATACACAAAAAAGGCAGTAAACAGGAGTGTAACAATTACAGAGGTATATCACTTTTAAATGTAACTTACAAAGTATTGTCAAAAATTACACAGAGAAGATTAGAAGAATACACATCAACCATCATTGGAGAACATCAAGCTGGCTTTACCAAAGGAAAATCTACCATAGATCAAATTTTCATTTTAAAAGAATCAATAGCAAAATACTATGAATTTAAACAATCTTTCTACTGCATTTTCATAGACTTTACAAAAGCTTACGACAGTTTAGACAGAAAAAGAATATGGAAAGTAATGGAAAAACAGGGAATTCCAAAAAAACTTATAAAAATGGCCTCATTAAGTGTCCAAGACTCAAAATGTAAAGTAAAAGTGGAAGGACAAGTGTCAGAGGCTTTCTCAGTAGACACTGGAGTGAGACAGGGAGATGGAATATCCCCAATACTTTTCAACATTGCTCTAGAAGAAGCACTACAGAAAGTTAAAAGTTCAGAGGTAGGGATAAAGATAGGAAAGAAAATAAATATTTTAGCCTTTGCGGATGATGTTGCGATATTAGCACATACAAAACAAGACTTAGAAGATCTAGTCAGAATATTGATTGAGGAAACGAAAAAGGCTGGCCTTGAAATAAATGATAGAAAAACTAAATATATGCAATGTGGTAGACGAGATGACCAAGAAGAGGACAATGAAGTCCTGCAGATAGAAAACCATGTTTTCCAAAAAGTGAACAATTTCACCTACCTGGGAGTCTTATTAACAAATGATAATAATGAAGAACTGGAAATAACTAACAGACTCAATGCTGCAAACAGAAGCCTCCATGCATGTAACAAAATTTTGAGCTCAAAGCTGTTATCCCGCAATACTAAAGTAAGAGTTTATAAAACTATAATTAGACCGACACTAATGTATGGATCTGAGTGTTGGGTAATGAGCAAAAAATCAGAAAAACGTTTAGTAACTTTTGAAAACAAAATTCTTAGGAAAATATATGGCCCAACTAAAGAAGATGGATTCTGGAGAATTAGACATAATTTCGAAATAAGAGAGCTATATAAAGACCCAGATATAACAGCTGAGGTGAAAAGCAGACGCATTAGGTGGGCGGGTCATGTCCTCAGAAGAGAACATGGCACAACCTTAAGCAGTGTATTAAGGAACGACCCAGAAGGCAGAAGGCCACCAGGCAGGCCTAAACTGAGATGGAAGGACCAGGTGCGACGGGACTTGAGGAAGCTGGGTAGAAATGAAGACCAGGCGCAGGACAGAGAAGGCTGGAGGCAATGTGTAGGCGAGGCCAAGTACCACTTGGGGTACCTATGGCCACTGCAGTAATGAAGTAGTAAGTAATGATGATAATGAAAATTATTACTATAATATGGATTATTACTTTTTCAACACTAGCTCACTGGACTTTGAAACAAATTTAATGTAAATTTAAATTGTATACTTAGGCTGCAAGTCTTAAATTGATTATAGTTTAAGTGGAACCAAACAAATACGCGGGAACCTGGAAAAACTTGGAAAAACCAGGAAAAAACCTGGAAAAAACCTGGAATTTCACTTTTATAAAATAGTATACACCCTGTACCAGTAATTTTGCGGGTTTTTTCTCAGAATTGTATTGAAACCATTATTTTAAATTTTAATACATTGACGGGATATAATGAAAAAGCATAGTATCTTACATTCGTGGATTTCTAACCACAGTTGCTATGCCACACATTATTAAAACCTTTAACTCCTAAGAGGATTGTGTAAATCAAATTTCAACACGGTTAAAATAATAGGTTTTACATATTTTACTCTGAGATACTCTGAATAGCCGTGATAAAGTGGTTTTAAAATTAGGTTAAGAGTTTTCAGGAATAAATGTGTTGGAAGCAACAATTTTACCATACATTTTTCACAACTGGTAAATTATTTCGAACACAATTTCTAGTTGTTTTTTAATCCTTTAAAATCATATCAGTGCATTCAGTACGAATCCAGTGTAGTTTCCAGCTGTTCACATTCAACAGACGACAATGAAAAACTGGAGGTTATGATGGAAAAATGGCAAAGAGCATCTGTTTTATCAGCTTCAAAACTAGGGGTGTGCGAAGCAGCAAAAAATTTTCGATTCGAAGCAACGATTCGATTCAAAAGATTTTCGATTTGATTCGATGCAACTCGATTCGAAGCAATACGGTATTTTTCTATTCATAATTGTCAATTGAGTGGATTAACAATAATTAAAATGTATCACATTTGTGTAATACAAATTTTTGTTGATGTGGTATTAGGCCTATTTCATACTTAACATATGAATTTTAGGTGAAAAAATATTTATTTTCAATCATATGTATTAGAATAACTGCTGGAAATACCAGTGAGCTGCTTTACTTGCCTATTTCATAATTTTTACTTGAATTGGCTCAACTGCAAGAAAGAAGAAAATATTTTTTTTATCAAGACATTCATTCTCATTTTAATAACTGTTTAAATAACTAAATAGGTGCCGGTAGCTAAATTACAACAAATTTGAATGGAACTTAATATAAAAAGACCATTAAGAAATAAATTTACATATCACAAGTTTAGGGCCTGTGGACCAGCTTCAGGACTGCAAGCAAGAAGAAAATAAAAATAATATGTTTCCACCATGCAATATGTATCATTCATTCCCTGCCTCCTAACCTCCTTAGTATAATAACCTCACACTTACATTATTTGTTACATCATCATAAATAAAGAATTATTATTGGCATCAGTAGGCCTACAGCTTTACCTAGGCATTATTTTTATAGGGCCTAAAATAGTAATAGGCTAGAAGCAACATGTCAAGTGGAGAACTCATTGAAGAAAAGATATTGTGTAAACTAATTTCCTATAAAACTCAAAAACAGTAAATAACATACAAACATTGTTTATGGTATAATTAATAAGGACTAAAAAATGCATATCATGTCATACAGTAGTATAGACCTACTGCAAGAGATTAAAATCCTAAAGCAACTGATTTGGATAGCTAATGAATGAAAAGAATTAAAAATCCATAAAATAAAGCCAAACAATATCACAACTAATTAGGTACCCGAAAAGTAACTCTTAAATAATATATAGAAGATTAAAATAATATTAAATCAAGAGACAAGAAAGTTAAATGCTATCTTCTAGCCTAGTGCCCTTGGCAACACAGGTCAATGTTTTTAAACTACCCTCAATGTTTTTGGAACAGCAGGGCCTTTTTCTCTTAAGGAAGGGTAGTAGTATGTCAACAAAAACAATGAATCAGTCTCACCAGCCAGGCCCGGGCAACGATGTGTGAATTCAAGGTCATAGACCCTCCCCCTCCCCTCTTACACCACCCGGTTGCTACCCAGTTGCTTCAATTGCTGACAAAATGCAAGTGATGAAACAAGGAAGTAGAGACATAGAAATACATTTCTTTATTCAAAAACACAAAACTGTTAGAGATTATTTTCAAAGAAATTAATTCAATGTAATTTGTGAGTTGTAAATATTGTATTGGATCTTAGAAATATATTTTTTTAACCCCATCTAACCAAGATACAGATCTGTTCACTATATCAGATATTTCTTTTGTTTATAATTTATTATGTAAAATAATAAAATATATTTTTAATTAGGTATTGAATAAACAATAAATGATTATACTAGTATGTCTGGATAAATAGTCTTTCTATTCTTTTGACTTTGTTTTCTTTGCATTGTTAGTGTTGCGTCACGGCTTTTGTCTTGTTACTCTTATCAGTAGACGACTAGACCTGGCTCTGGCTAGTGGCAGTGCGGCAATTGCTCTGTTGTGTCTTTATTCTTAAAGGTCGCGAGCCAACTTAATTTTTAATTCTCATTTGAACATTTTAATTCCTCTGTAATAATCGATATAATAATATAAGAGTGTTTCTTTGGAAATAAATTATTCTTTTTTTTTTCTTTTGCCCCAACAAAAATTCGGGGACGGGGACCGGCAGACAGGCAGACACCTAACAAAAATACCAAATGAATCAGTCTATAACATTAATCTTACTACAGTCTAACCTTGATATAACGAACCTCGATACAACGAATTCCTTGATATAACGAATTTTTTTAAATCCCCTAGAACTCTTCATAAGACACAATGTATATTTTACCTCTACATAACGAACAAACCATAACAACGACCTTGATTTAACGAATTTTTAGTGATTTCGGCTAAAATAAGACACCTCAATATAGCGAATTTATCATTATCAGAACCTCTACATTGCGAATTTAACCTCTGCATAACGAATTGTCTACGTCTTTCCCTCGATATAACAAATCCCCCACCCCATTATTGTTTTTGAAAAATCTGTTTCTTTATCAAATGAAATGGAAAGGTGACTTCATCGCTTGCGCTAACATTCGTCTGCTCCGTTTTACACATCTCCGTCTGCTGTCGCTGCGCGCGCTATGTTGCAACTGAGAACGAGAACTGATATTATTCACTGAGGACTGATGACGACGTAATGTTTAGTAAGCTGTGATTGGGCTAAGTAACTATGGTGAATTGTACAATTTTTGGATAAAGAGAAACCTAAGAAAGAATATAAAAACAAAACCAAAGAGAAAGAATAGCAACATCCTTATTTTAACATTCCTTTTTCGAGTGTTTTTATTATCTTTAAATTGGCTATGATTATACACTTTTATAATGACTTAATGTATTGTTTTCAATACGATTTTTTCAACTAGTAAAACCAATGCTACAGTTAATGATTATTATTGACATTCCTCTGTTGTGATAAATCAGTTAAGTAGCCTACCGGCCTATCACGAGCAGTAGCATACAAAACTTTCTACTACTGTTTTGTTTTGTTCTTTACAAGGTTTTTGACTACGCAATACAGTGTTTCGCTAGGTTTTAGGAGGGTTAAAACAAGCTTTGATTTTAAACTTACAGTTTTTAACCTGTATCAAGGTCAATGCCATTTTCATGATTGCGCAATATTCAAGATCCCTCCCCTTTTTTATGCCGGATAATTTAGGTTCTACTGTACAATGTAAACACTGTACTGTAAAGTATTGTAGCATATGCTACTTTAATTGTGTTTTAATGATGTCTAATCCCGACCTATATTGACCGACGCTGGTTCTAAACCTCGACTTAGCGAAATTCCTGCAAACATAACCTCTATATAACGAACCCCGTTTTAACGAAATCCTTGATATAACGAATATTCAGTTCGGTCCCTTCAGATTCGTTATACTGAGGTTGGACTGTAGTAAAGTATTAAGTAACAATTTTTCAGACTTATTTTTAAAATGATTTTGGAGTAACCTACCTTGTTTTGGCTAGGTTCACAGTAGTAAAATATTTCACACACTGCTTACATCAAGACAAAAAACAAACCTCTAATCATTTGCAATGTCAAAACAAAAAAATATAAAACAATTAAAGCTATATTTAATGCAAAGAATGTATTAAATAAGAACGCCTTCGTAAAGGAAACGCAACAGCAACGCGCTCCTGTATTGCGGGTATTGCATTGACTTTCTGCAGGCGTTTTTCGTATATGGATACTGACTCCCTCGTGAATCGAATCGTTTTTTGACCACCACTGAATCGAATCGCGATTCGATGCATCGAATCGAATCGAAATTTCGATGCATTTTCGATGCATCGCACACCCCTATTCAAAACTAAACATAAGACAGATACAACTCTTGCCAAGCTTTTCTGAAACTAAAAATTGGATTAGCACAGAGTAAGATTATTGTATTTTCATTTGCAAAGTTTACATCAACCCATATCAATCATTAGTTTATCTCAGATGCAGACCCCTAGTTCAAACTAAAATATATGTGTCCAAGATAATTTGAGTACTATCAAATTTTGTTCAATGAATTAGCTTGACCAGACTACGACAATGGGGTTTTATAGGGAGTTTCATTAATAAAATAATCAAAAATGATCCGATTTTGATGAAATTTGGCACAAACGTGTAAACCTACGTTTATTCGAACGAGTTCGCGAACCAGCATGATCGGACCATGGGAATGGGGGTTTATGGGGGCTTTTATGGGGTAAAAATGGGTTTTTCCCATTTTTGACCCAAAAAACATAAAATTTTGCAATTTCTTTCCAAACAATTTTGTAGAGCTTAAAAAAACAAATAATTTAGTATATTGAAGCGTTATAATGTGCCTAATGGTTACGGGGAAAATTCAAAAAAATTGTAAATTTAAAATTCTCATGTTATTCTTATGGAGAATAAGTAAACTGTTGTAGTTTGCTTGTTTATTAACATATTTATTTTGCCCGAATTTGGAAAATGTTTTTATTTCTTACTAACTATTAACATTTTACATAAAAAAAAAAACACTTTTACCCTCCCTGTTGCAGCAAACCTAAGTATGTGTTAAACTGATTCTATTTAAATAGGGAATAAATGTGATATTTTTAAGGAAACATTTTAGTGTAAATCCAATCAGGCAAATGGAAATTCGCTTAGTCTGCAGGTTTGCTGCGGCGGGGGTATTATGTTTTGGTCTGTTAAAAATGAAAAATGAAATTTTTAAATAATGAAACCAACTATAAAACCCTATTCCCATAGTCCAATCATACTGGTCCGCAAACTTATTCTAATAAACGTAGGTTTACAAGTTTATACCAAATTTAATCAATATAAGATCAACCAACTAGTAACTGTTAAAAAAGTATATGACTGGTTTTTTTACTGTATTTTTTTTCTGTTCAGATTATAGAACTGCTGAGCAAGGAAGCCAACTTCAAGATGGACTTTGCAAAGTTCTGTCCGGCTTACCATAAACATTTCGGAACTCAGTGCAAACTCTCAGATTACGGATTCTCCAAGTTGGCAGAACTTTTTGAAGCCATTCCAAAAATTGTAACAGTAAGTTTTCTTGCTGTGTTGTAAAACTTGTCACTAGAAATTGAGAAATGACCGGTTTAATTAACCAAAAGAACATTATGTAAAATCTACAGAAGTAATACTTTGGAAATTAGAAGAAGTAGAAGTTCATTTGACAAGTAGATATAAGAATAAATTTCATCTGAAAAACCATTAATTTAATAAGGACAACAATCTTTTCCAAGATTTTCAACTAGAATATGTGTGTAGTGTACCAAACCAAATATTGGAGGATTGCTTGCAATATTGTGAATTCTATATTTGTAAAATCTTTCTGTTGGTTTGGTACTAATTTTAACATAAATCAACCACTTCTATATATTTTTATCCACAGCAAATTTGGGAGTAAAATATGTAAATGTTAACCAATCTATATAAAATTTGTTTTCAAATTAGCCATAAGTTTTAGGGAAACCACAATATTGCTTTGTTTTATTTTTATTTGTAATACTAGACAAGTTGCTATTGGGCCTTAAAATAAAGTTGAGTCAAGCCGGGAGTATTGAGGGATCAGCACCCGAATCTGTGGACAATAGCCGATTCGAGGCCCCTAGGTGTATAAGCTTGTTCACAACTATAATTGTTCTCTGAACTCTTAGTGTTTAATCAACTGCCCGGAACTACTTTCTCTTGTGAGGTATTTGTGTATTCCTTCATTCTCAATGTACAACTGAACATTTTGAATTTGCAGATTGAGGAAGATAAAGAGACGGGTCGCCAGGTGTCTCTGACTCACCCAGAGAGATTGCGGGTGTTGTCTGGTCGGGTCAAGTCTCTTGTAGTGGCCAAACACCCGCCGGGTCTGTATGTCGATGGGTTGGCGTGTGAGTACCTGTTCAAATACGGCCACGCCCTGCGACCTCACAACTACAACTGTTCTTCAGTACTTGAGCTGGTCAAGAAACTGGATACAGTCAAGGTGATTTGTGAATGAAATCTTTGACTATGGAATGAAGTACTGGTAGACATCATCCCATCGAAGACAAATCACGAGAGTACCTCACTGGATTTCTCGGTGAAATAGTGGAACTGCTAACCCACAAGAGCTAGTGTCGTGTGCTTATACTGGCAATCGAGCTGTTCCGCTGACAGTAGCATGGTAGCTCAGTTGGCTATGGTGTTGCACTGGAGTGTAGCGTTGAGATCTTTCTATTGCAGGATCAGTTCCATGCATGTGCAATCCAGATTTAGCTTGTTAATGGGTGTCTTATCTGGTAGGAGGGCCCATCTTAGAAAACAGTGTCCGGCTTGGGTGGAAGTTTACAGGATTAGTAAGCAAAAATGGTATGCAGGACCTGTTTTGCTTCTTATTACAATTTTAAGTCATTTATGATAATCATAGTTTGACTAACTAAACTCGACTTGTGTGTTTCAGGTTTTAATGTACGGATATGAAAAACCGATCTTAGTGCCAGAGACTGCTGAACAAGGAGCAAATGTGAAAAAAGGCAAGCCAAAGTCTTGCCAACCAAAAGCCAATCAGGAAGTGAAAATTCCTGGAAATAAAACAAAGGTAATTCTTTTCTCCAAAAAATGTTGTGTGATAAATTTTTGATTTCCTGCAGGCTTGTAAAGTAGAAATTGTGTAGTTAACTTGAGTCTATTAAAATATGAAGGTTAATAAACAGTTTATAAATTGCAATAGAGTAGACTCCCTCTAGTTCAGCCACACAGGCACTCGGTACCGGACGTGTTACCAAAGGTTAAAATAACCGTTTTAAATTAATTACCAAAGCTTAAAAATCTACGAATAACATTATTTTAATACTCTTTTGTTTTACCAAACTTAGCTTTTGGCATCTTGAATTGTCGTGGCGTTTCCACTTAAGTTTTTGCAACACTGGACTGATTGGTCCCTATCAAGATGCTCTAGAATGCCAGGTCTTTTATTCCGTTGCCACAAACGTATGTTAAAGTTTTTCACTAATTTCTATAACATATGTTTGTAACTATGGTAGGGGTGTGCGATGCAGCATATTTTTTTCGATTCGATGCATCGATGCGATTCAAAGAATTTCGATTCGAATCAATGCGATTCGATTCGATGCAGCACGGCATGATTTTCTTCAAAAATTAAATACAACATATGTGTTTCTGTAATGGATCCTTTACCTTAAAAAAAGTTAAAGTAAAAAATGTACTAAATAAAATTATGAACAAGAGGATAGTTGCTGACCTAACCTCATTAATGGACACTGCTAATTTTATGGTTGGCCTAAGGAAATTCACCCTTCACTAACAATTAGAATAAGCCTATATATCAATAAAGCAATCGTTAAGTTTATTATTATTGACCTGTATTAAATAAAATAGAGTTTATTTTATGACTTACGGTAGTATTGTTACTTAGTTTTCACATTTATATTTGTTGGCTTTCAATACTTCTGGTTCATTCTTAAATCAGCACGAACCAAAAAAGTTGATTATCAGTGTTTACTGTCTATTTTAGTGATGGTCGGATCCGGATATCGGACTACCGGATCCGCCGGATCTGAGATAGAACCGACAAAAAATCGGATCTTGGGCTGGATCCGGTTTTAATGGATCCAATTTTATTTATACTATTAACACAAAATGGGCGAGTATTCGAGATTTTGAGTTTGAGTAAAGTACAATATAAAAATAAGCAAGAGGTAGTTGTCCTAACCTATTTTTATAGCTGTCACGACAGAATAGGTCGACTCAAAGCAGTTGCCGGCGACTGACTGGCAATGGCATTGGCAATGGTATACTGACTTGACACAGAATAGAATGACATGACCGGTAGTGATTTTGTTTTAAAGTAGGCCTACTGTTTCACAATAGAAAATTTCACTACTGAACTGTTACGTAAGCAATAAATTTATGTTTATAAAAGTCAGAATAGAAACACTATAAAGGCAAAACAATAGACGGGAGGGGGAGGCAGGCGTTGTGCAATGACCTCGAAATGAGCGGAATAGTAACATTGAGTAGGGGGTTGGAAGGGGGGGAAGGGAAGGGTGAGACCTGAGACCTTTGAGCTATATTTAGACTAGACTTTCACCATTTCCCAAATGGCTGGGTACGGGGATTACAATAGCAGGTTTTTTCCTTGCCTGGTTTGACTTTTGTCTTTTTGTATAGGAGATTTGAATAATAAAAAATATAATTTGAATTGACCACAATTATTTAGCATTGATAATACAATTTGCAAGGGACCAGGAGGAAATAGAACAAAACACTAAAATTAATAGAATAACAAACAAAGTAAACAACAAATTAAATACAGAACACGGTGATTTAACACTGTCACTGTCACTCAATTTTGTTGTCTAGAAGGGTCGGTGAACTAATCAATAAATAGCCCAAACCAGTTTCCTCCCCCTCTAACCACCACCCCTCCCCCCTAAGCCGGGAGGCCCAACACTTTGTCCTTAAAACACCCTAGCCTCTGAAACAATAAACCCTTACACCTGCGTTGCTGTTTTGACAACAGGTTTATGAATGCGTTCACTATTTTTTATTTTCCAGAATTAACTATCAATTATTATTATTTGCAAGTTACAAATAGGAAACTACATGACATTATGGTACCTATTCAATGACCCATGTATTATCAAAAATTTATAATTGATTACTTATTTAGATAATAAAAAGCATTCATTACAGCACGCAGCACTTATTGATATATATATATATATACAGTATATATATATATATATATATATATATATACTGTATATATAATCATCAAAGTATCTGTTACTTTATACAAAATAAAATAGGTACAAAATTGTGTGGCCAGTCAAACTTTATAAACAAACATTTTATTCTATAAAATACAGATGGTAAATAGGGGTTGGTTTAAAGGAAATAAAATACAAAACAGATTAATTAATTATTTTGATAAACGATAGAAAGGTTATGGGATTGATTGAACTAAAATAACCACAGGGAATCTTAAGTAGAAAAGTCGTCAACCACAATCTGTTTAATCAGTACATCGTTAGAGAGAGAGGGCCGAGAGGGGGGGGGGGAGAGAGAGATAGCAGATAAGGGCGTTTGATAGGGAATCTGAAAAAGTAAACAAACAAGGAACAACGACACGACAATACTCGTTTATAACCTTATTGTCAAATCTAGGTCTTTGTAAGACAAAAGAAAATCACACCGTTTTAAACTTCAACCTAATTTTATACTCTTTACAAACAAACACGTCCTACATAACGGTTCTTGATACTTATCAATGTATCTTAGCAATCGTCACTTGCTCCATTGGAACACGAACGTCGATTGGCTGACATGACAGTGCAGCGTGGCCTCTCGACCAATGAGAACTCTTGTTACATACTTTGATTTATCTTAGATGGTCAACATTTACCATTCATTATAATATTACAAAATCGACATGGACTATGCGTATGGTGTTTTTCAATCAAAACTTATGTTATAGTAGCACTTAAAACTTCACTTAAACTCTTAAACTAGGTAGATAGTACAGATATAACATGGATCTACTTTTTAGTGCAATAGGCAAGTGCAAGCCTAACCCTCTGACTTCGATGTTGTAATTGAATCGAATTTTTCTAATGATGCGTAATGCAGGGATGAAACTGAACATTTAGACAAGTTTAGGTTATTTATTTTGTTCTAAAAATAAAAATAATACATTTAAAGGTCTGACTTATTGATACAGACATTTTTTAGTATAATTTCGGCGCGCCGGTTGTCTGAGACTGAATTCTGACTGTCTGACATCTTGAAATGTAGATTGTATTGTGTTGTGCAATATCATCTGCCTGCAGAGAGAACAGCTGAAATTAAACTTTAGCTGTTTTGAACTAAATAGTGTGCTAAGTTGGTTACTAAAGTTGTTAGCGTTATTACAAAACTAATAGATATCAAATAAGTAAATGTTAAAATAAAATATCTATCCATCCCTGTCGGCTGTCGGTATCGGCGGAATCGGGCGAAATCGATGTTTGGCAATCGATTCTTGATACCGATATTCCTAGTATCGGCAATGTCCGAGTATCGGTGGTAACGATAATTGACACTTCCCTATCTAAAACTCATTTTGGAGTCCTGAATTAGTTTTAAATATGCATCGGGACGTAATCGTTGCATCGGGAGCTAACCGATGCATCGGTCTTTTTCGATGCATCGAGGCCAAATCGATGCATCGTGATTTCGATGCATGCTGAATCGAATCGCGATTCGATGCATCAAATCGAATCGAATCGAAATTTCGATGCATTTTCGATGCATCGCACACCCCTAAACTATGGAATAAAAGACCTGGCATGCTCACATTTAATCACAATGTTCAACCTTGAAAACCATGTAATACTGTACAGTAAAAAAAAAAACATATTCTGAACTGAAGCACAGATCAAATTGTACTGTTTTTATAATCATTTACCGTGGGTAAAGCACAACTGATTACATAGAAGCCATAAACTGACATAAATTGTTTACTTCTACGTTTGAAAACTAAACATTCAAATCCTGTTGAAGATCATTCACCTATGACAATGAGACTCATCCCCCTGAGACCGGCTGACCATCTAAGGCAGCGGAACTAGGGGAGTCGAATATAATATTGCTAACACAATTTATACATAGGGCTATATTTACACCCATAAAATATAAAAAAAAATATGATAGAGATCTGACTTTATAAAAGGAATTTATTATCAATTGAAACAAGCTAACACCTTAAGCTCTTCCTAAAATTATTTAGTTAATAATGTGTAGGCTACTTAGAATAATATTAAAATGTTGTTTATTTACTCATTTAGTCTCTTGGATCCAAGTTGATTTTTGGTCTCTAGAAGATCATTGTATCCCTCTTGTATCCCTCTACCATGTTAACTTCTGTAAGTATCCTAACACCAACCACTTGATCATTTGATTTTGGTCTTTCTGGTTGACCTTCCCATATTGTTATTGTTGCGTTTTCCCCCCTCTTGCCTTCTTACATGACCAAGCCACCTAATTCTAATTCTTGCCACTGCCACAATACTTGATCTGCTGTACTTGAGCTCTCCGTTTTCCAGTACTATCTATGTTCCACTTTAAGCAGATCACTTTTCCTCATATGAGATGTTTTTGTAGTACTATTTTTGTGAATTTCAGACCAACGGAGATGTAACCGGTTCATCAGCAGCTTTGCTTGAATTGCTAAAAAAAGCACAAAACTCTCCATCAGGTAGCAACGGTGTTAAGAGTGTTGGGTTGTACAACCAATTAAAGGTAAGTGATACCATTGTTCAAACTCAGATTATCGAATTTTCCAAAGAAAGTAGCTATTACCGTAGGTGACACATTAAGACCTAGACACGGGTCCGATTTACTTTTACTTTTTGATTTCCCTAGAGGCCAAATACACAATCAGTTTGGATTCGAGTTCTGTCAGCATGATAACCTGAGTAAAAATCATAGGATTTTGTAGAAATTTAGTTAAAACGCGTAAACCTAGATTTTTTCTAACGAGTTTGCGAACCAGCGTGGACAGACTTTAGGAATAGGGTTTGATGGGTCAAAAGTTGACTTTTTCCATATTTGACCCCCAAACATAAAATTTTACTATTTATTTCCAAACTATTTTGTAGTTCTTAAAAAACAAATAATTTAGCGTTGTTGGCTACGGAGAAAAAAAACTTAATTTAAATTTCTCACGTTATTCATACCTAGGGGGGAAAAAAAACTGTTGGATTTTTCTTGTTTATGAAAATATTTTGCTCAAATCTGGAATTTCATTTCTAAGATATTTCCATTTCAATAAACAAATAAACCAAACACACTTTATTCACACTATTTATATCTTTGTAGCAGCAAACCCAAGTTATTCTTGTAGTAATTTTAAAAGATTAGGTATTTTACTGAAAATCCAACCTGGTAAATGGAAATTTGCCTACTCTGCAGATTTGCTGCGGCGAGAGTATTGTATTTTCCTCAGGTAAGCTAGCTGAACTGTTCATTTTCAAAACGATTCCTAGTGACATAGTCAGAGCTCTTACTATTAACTTAGTTGTATCATTGAACTACATTCTATTGGGCAGCCAATGAAAGCAGAGCAAGGGCAGGTGATGTTGCTCTCACCAGCTGAGTTTCTGCGACCTCCCACTCATGTCAAGAAACCGATGTATGCGAGCATATTCCCGTCCTCACCTGACCCATCCACGCTGCCGACCCCTGTGGGCTTCACACTAGCAGAGGTGAGTTCAAACTAACCTAATATACAGAACAATGTTACATGTTTACGTTTAAAAAGGTTGACCAACATCACATTGGGATGATCAAGTACACACAATTATAATGGAATTATAATGGAAATCATAATGGAACAACAGACTGTATGGGAAGGGGAGAAGAGAGTGAGCTTGCTTAACCTGTGATTCTGAAGCCTAACCCATCTTCTCCTGTGCTCCTCCTGAGCTCATGACATTCAACTGACTGGCATGCATCCCCATAAGAGATTGCACAGAAATTCTGTGGTTCTATAAAGTCTAAGGCTGACGCTAAGTTTGTCAACTTGTCAGCCACATGGTTCCCTTCTATCCCTGAGTGTCCAAGAACCCAACAGTGTGTTACCGTGTTGCACTTGCTCAGGACGGATAATATTGTGAGGCAGTCCCAGACTACCTTGGAATTGAACTCGCAGATGTCAAGTGCTCTGCCTAGGGGCAGATAAACTTTATCTTAATAAAAAAAAAAATATATAACAAATGATGGGAAACACATACAAATTTAGGTATGCCTTTTCATTTTATTTTATTATATAAATTGTTTTCAGGCCAGCAATGTAGGCCTACTTGACCTCGGTGTCAAATTACTGGAAGATATTGAGGTGACCGATCACAACCGATGTAAGTAAGAAAAATTCATTTTGCAATAAGTTACATTCTAAGTATCAATATAACTAGACAAAGGTTTGATTGGAAAAGGGCTTATTGCCTGAGAGTTAAAGAGACAATTAATAGAATTAGCTGGCTTACCTTAAAATTGTAGGCATCCCACTTCACAAAAGCAACACAAAAGACAAGCTGAATATTTTAGGCCACTGGCCCTTTTTTCAACATTAAAAGTCCCTAGATTTTGGAAGTTCTTCACTGGTAAAATTTACAAATCTAGACTTCTAGAATCTAGTGAATCGATGTTGAACCAATGTTGAATCAATGTTGAATGCCAGTGCCTCGAAATATTCAGTTTTGTCTTTTGTTTTTGTTTTTTAGTGAACTTCCCTATTACCGTTATTTAGGGAAGTAGCTATTACCGTATGTCTCATGGTAAGACCTAGGCCCGGGACCAATTTAATTTTCATTTTGATGTACCCAGAGGCAAAATAAACCTTTCGTTCAAAACTATTTTTTAAATAATTAAAAATTGTTTTCTTCTATTAATATTAATTACAGTAGCCCTACAAATGAATAATATCTAATATAATATCCATATTATTAATACGCTACATGAAACTTTAAACTTGAAAAAGACCCTTGGGCTCTACCCCAGTGGTTTTAAAGTGTTTTTTTTTTTTTTATTTATAATCGTTTTTATGGACAACCTAATGAGGCTGTGAGTGGGAGACATTTGTAGAAAACACTATAACACAAGATTAGCTTTTGAACAATGATAAGATATTTACAAGAAATGTTGATTAAAAATCAAACTGTTATGTACATTGTGAGTATTCCCATTATCGTTGAGTCCACTCTTATATAGTCATCAGAAACTATGACTGTTATTCGTTTTAAAATAACGCCTGTAATACTTTACAATTGCTCGAACTCGAGCAACAGGTACACTAGTATATATATATATAGACAGAGAGAGAGAGAGAGATAGGCAGGCGTATGTGTCCGTGAATACGATAACTCGAGAGTAATTTTTTTCCGATTTTGATGAAATTTGGCTTGAAGGTGTAGGGTGGGATAAACTCTAATGAGTTTGTGAACCAGCATGATCGGACCATAGAAACGGGATTTTATGGGGTAAAAATTGGGGTTTCTCATTTTTGACCCACAAAACACAAAATTTCCCAATTTCTCTCTAGACCATTTTGAAGATCTTAATAAAGAAATAATTTAGTAAGGTTAAGTTTTTTATACGCTTATTGATTACAGAATAATTCAAAAAGATTCTAAATTTGAAATTCCTTATATAGGCTAGTTATTCTTATGGAGGATATTGTAAACTGTTGCAGTTTGCTTGTTTATGGATATATTTTGATAAAACTTGGTAAATTGATGTATTTGATATAAATTGACAAACCTAGGTACTCGTTAAACTTAATGTTATTTAAATAGAATTAGTTGAAAATTAAATCAGGCAAAAGGGAATTAGCTTAGTCTGCAGGTTTGCTGCGGCGGGGGTATTCATGTTGCTTTTGTGAAGTTGGATGCCTACAATGATTAAGGTAAGCCTACTCATCCTGTCCTTTGTCTCCTTAATAACTAAATTACCTTTCCCTCCATTACCAGATTAATCATTTTGTATATCACTGGTTTGTGATTTGATGATAATTGTAATCCGTTGAATTTTCTTATAGGTATGCAAGGAGCAAAGTTGGCCCCGCAGTTTTGTTCCCCCCTGCAGCTCAAGTAAGTTGAGTGACGCCGACCCAATTAGTCTTTCATAACATTTCCGTAACTCAAAGAGGGACTAGTTATATCTTTGATACTTTTTTTAATGAAAGTACTTTTCCAACCGAAGAGACTATTGTGGCATTTCCCGACGAAGATTCCTTCTTATCTTTCTTCGATCAGGACCATCTTATAGAGATTTATTATAGTTTTATTTACAAAGTATTTTTAGACTGGTATTGTGATTAGATACTTTATTTAACGCCAACCTCTGCACATATGATGTCGATATTTTTTTTTAGTTTTTGATTTTAGATTTAGTACCTAGGCATATCAAGTGAAAGGGTACGGAAATCGAAGGAAACTTTCAAGTTCTATTGCTTGATGTGTTATTAAGAGTTTTGGTAAATTAGAATTGTCGTTTGATGAATGAAAAGTCTTTAAAGATTATAAGGATGGATTATAAGGATGGATGCAGTTTGGATTATGTAATCGTTTTACAAATTAATTTAAGATTTTTGCTTTTGAATCATACCAATTATCACTATTAGAGTTGATGATCATTAAAAATCTTGTGATTATCAAGGTAACTAAAGTAAGGTTATTAAATTAAGAGTGGTTGCAGTTTTTGAACGTATTGTGTTTGTTATGTTAGGCTGGTCTTATTGGGCAAAATCCAACAGGGATGTTTAAAACTTGGTTAAAAACTCAGTTGAATTTTGTCCAGTAACAAACGTGTATGGAGTTTTGTTAGATCTACCACAAGACCAAATAATAGTAGTAATAGTGTTTAGTTTTAGCTTCTATTTTTTTTTTTTGTTAACAGAAAAGGAAAAAAGGTAAAAAATATATTTGTTATACAATATCAATATGTTGATATTAGATTCCTTTGACTGTGGTTTTCGGTTAGGTGATTAAATTGATGTTAAGGTTGAGAGTGATTTTAATGAATTTCTCATTCTTAATGTTTTTAATGACTCATTAGAGTTTAATATTGTAATTTTCTTAGTTATGTCCTTTGTAAAGATTATATATGTATTTAATTTTAAACTGTTGAGTATGAGTATATTGAATGAAATAATACAAGTTGATTCTTGTAATGAAAAGTCTTTGGGATTAAGGGAAATTCCTATAATAAAACTTTTCTTTGTAAATTTGAAATTATAATCAATAATATAGATTTATATATTTAATTTTTTTTTTATTGTTACAAATGAATTTAGGATGTCTGAAAATACCGCCTAATGAAACTATTTGTAATTCTCAATAATGTAGAAGATTTTTCAACTTAGACTATTCATATCCATACAATAATGTATATATTTGTTCAAAATTTAAATAAACATAAAACTTTTTAATTTTTTTTAATTTGAAAAAAATGGATTTTTTGTAAAGTGTAATTTTTACTGAAATGGGCGAGTTATAGATATTTGAACCACCGTTTCCTCAATCCTCATAATACTCTTGAGTCAATTTATTAATTTTATTGAAAGCTTAACTCAATAAAATAAATAGTTCTCAATTGACTTTCCACTTACAGTCTTAACAAAGTTTAGTTTCTCACACCACTCCTTCCATGATGAAAATCCCAAGACCCTAGGGTATTAAAAAAATGAAAACTTGTCTTTTAGGCCTACTAAACTAGACCGTATGTAAATGGTCCGGTGAAAATAGTTAAAGCTGTTATTTTAAAGAAATTCTGCAACATCACATAAACTATCATCAAACCATTTCTATTTGGTCTATTCTGATTCCAGATTTAAAATTAGGTACATGAACTTTTAACAAGTTGGTCCAGAGGAACAAATGTTAATAGTTATATTTGTGTTAGAGATATAATTAATTTTGTTATATCCAGCATTTATTTTCACTTCCTAATCTTTTACATTAACTATTTAAAACTACAAAAAACAGTTGGTAGTACAATACAACCCTGCTAATCCGTCACCTACGGGACCGGGACCTTGGTCGCAACAGTGAAAATCTTTAATTATCCGAGGCACATATTAATGACTGTTTTTGCTTGTCTGACATTTACTGTAACGGAAACCGTAACTGTTCCATTATTTGTGTTCAAAATTATATTTTACTATAGTTGACTATAAATACAGTAAAGGTTATATAGTCAATAAATGGAGGTTAATAAACAATTCCTTGTTCAGTACGGAAGAGATATGAACATCATTAACACACTTAACCTAAAAGTTTCAGTAGTATGTAATTTAATTAACATAGGTTGAAGGTAAATAATTTTGTTTTTATTGCCACACAGGCCCCTATATTTTTAGAATGAAACCTTAATTTTCAAGAAACATGATAATATTAAAATGATCACTATTATCTTCAACGATCATGACAAAATCATGGACTTCTTGCGTGATCCTGGGTACATTATGGTTGTATCTCACTGGCCACCATCAAATCATGAATACCTTCTGTGATCATGGTGATTTTGGCTGTTTGGATGACCGTCTTTCACAATCGCGGAAAAATCTCAGTCAAACGGAATAATCCACCGGAAATCCAAACGCTATCGACAGGCTGATACGGTCGGTTTAAGTGAAGAGTCAGAGTAAGCGAGGTCGGATTTGTACCTTTTGTGAATTCTTGAATCCATCTAAATGGCATTGTCAAAGAGATCTGAATTACCTTATTTACAAGCAATCTTTTGATGTTAGCAAATAGAGCATCCCATATAACTGAGTGTGTAAGTTTTAGAAACACAGTTTGAAATAATATCCTAGGTTTTTGGGATTTTCTCTCTGCTTCTTGATTTTGGCTGTTTAAAAGTTTGTGTAGTATAGTATTTACATTGTTTATTTAATATGTATATATTGATTATTTTATACAGTTTTTCGTAATTGCTTCATGGAAACAGGATTTCTAACAAAATTATTAGTGCAATCAAAAAATTCTGAGATCAGTTATTAAAAGCCTTCAGAATATTACCGTTTTTGTTTTCAATAATGTTTTACTCATGAAACACCATCATAAAAAAATCTATGACTCGCCCTGTAAATTCTTTGTAGCTTTATCAAATGTGTGGAAAGTGTATATACATCGCGGAATTCATTTGATAGTTTTGACATGTTTTAAAACACCTTCTGTAAAGATAGTTTGTAGCCAATGTTATGTCACTTATTGTACATTTGTAAATATCTTTTGTAAAAATTTGCATGTTTACAGAATATGTCTACTACTGCCAAATACCAGGTTAATGTTGTACAAATATTAGGGTTTATGGTAAGTGCAGTCATGTAAGAAAAACATCGTTGGGTTGGCTTAAGAAGTTCCGTTGCAATAATGGCCAAAAAATGAAAATTTATGCATGTTTGAACAATTATTTTGCATTTTCATTCTGTTATTAGAGCTTTAAGATCAATATTTCAATTTTTGTCAATATATCCAAACTCAAATTCAATTCTGATAGTGTTTAAACTCTATTTTTTCAGTAAAAATATATGAGTTTGCTTATTAATCAAAGATGTGAGCATTTTTACCTACAATAGTAAAAATATGTATTTTTAAGTTACCTTTATCACTAAAAGAACTAAACAATGCAATATAGCCCACACTTCTTGATAATAACAATGTAAATAAAAAATTTTAATAAGTTTTAATTTGATGATTAGATAAAAGCAGATTTTCTTTTAACATAATGATACCTGCAACACCTAAATATAACTCTAGTCAAGTAGTTTTTTTTACATTTTTTATTGTTAACATCTAATAATAATGAATTACATGTTGAAGAATGTTGTTATTAATTGTTCATTATGTGTGAAAAAAAATAAATGATCATCAACATTTAATGGAAGAATCAAAATAATTTCAGACATTCATAAAAATACGTTTTTAATAGGCCCGAGATTATACAATTTAAATTGAGGTTTTGTTTTTTCTTACATGACTTTTTCCTGATCTCCAAATGTGAATTTTCTTATGTAAAGTTTGTACAATGTATATTTTTATGTAGATATGTTTTTAAATGCTTGTAATTTTTATCCTTGCATTGCTTGTGACTGTCTTTAAACATCAATCTGTAAAAAAAACGCTTTTGTAGAAATAAATTTATTTACTGCGAGTTTTATTCTTGATTTATATGGTTTGATCAAGAATTGCCATACATGTGTACATTGTGTTTGACAGTAAGTTGTTAAAAGTGTAAATTCACTTTAAACTTAAACTGGGCGGATTAAAACTGTGATTGAGGTGTAAACATCTCTATGGAGTTTGAATGAAAACTGTTCTTAGTTATCTGATTTGTTTTTTTTTACTCCTAAAGAGTTCTGAAAATAGCTGTCAGGACTTTAAAATAGTGTTTCCAAACTTATTTGAAACATTTTAAAACTGTCTTAACAGTTTTGGCAGAGCAGTACCACCTGCAGTGCCCCTGTTAATCCGCCCACGGCATTACTAGGGCCTAGTTTGAAACTATTCCAACTTGGAAATTGATAAAATAGTTTATACACCAGTTTAACATATAAATCTCTCTAATATAAAAGAGTATTCTTCATTATCGGGTGTAAATAGTGTAAAAATATTGAAACATTTTATTTGGAATGTTCCTGAAGCAAAAAATAAGTAAGATAATTCTTATCGCAATAAGATAGAGAATATATATATTTTGTATTTTTTAATTTCAAAAAGAAAGTTTTATAAGAATATTAATATGCTTTTCAGTGGTATATTCAAAAGGTTTTGGGACTAAAGCATTTTAATTTGATCGTATAAAAGTATGGTATTTGTTATCAGCCAGTTAGTGAAGGCGAAGAATCTCTTTAAATTTACCTAATTTGATTCAGTTTTGAATTTTATTCAAACAAATTTTTCATCGTTGTTTGTTTTTTTTAAATATATTATTATCCTGGCCTAGTCAAAGAAGCATGATTTCTTTGCTTTACTACCAATGAAAGATAATAATACCATATTTTCATTTAGTTATTAAGTGTTACAATTGTTTAGTTAATTATTGTGATGATAAAGTATATTTATGTGAAATGGTCAACAAATCTCTATCGAAAGACTATACCACACAATAAGATTACATCTGGAATGTACATTAGATTGTGTATTTGTGTACACTTCTTGAGTTTTGTGTACAAATATGTAGAGTCATTTATAATTGTGTCTATAGATATTATTATAAGTGTTTCCAAGGCTCACCAGTCAAGGCTGATTATTATTATGGTAATAGCTATAACTTTAGTAAACTATTGTGATTTTAAATTTTTCTTGACTGTAAAATATTATTGATTGAAAAAGGTTAACTTTTATAAAAATATATTTTTTTAATGAAGTAAATACCTACACTGTGAATTGAATTTCTTAAAATCAGGCAATAGATTTTTGAGTTTACAACTATCTAAACTTTGTTAAAATAAAATTTTTTAATTAACATTTGGTTATAATGTCTTAAAATTAAATAATCACATTTTACATTACACACAAAATGTATATTGACAAATATTTACTACACATCTATGTAGTATTTTTATTTTCAGACAGAATTATGATGAAAAGTACATTTTCTGTAAGGAAAATACAAAACGTAACAAACCTTAAGGCAAGACTCGAATTATAAAAATATGCCTTATTAAGATAACAGTTGTTCATACAACATTACCATAATAGAATAAATCATCTCAGGCCTTGAACTAAACCTGCCGAATTTATACGTTTCATTTCTTTGACTGTGAAACTATATGTCTGATATTGTTAGATAGTACTTTTATCCTGACGGCACTTTATCCTTAGTGGTTTTTATACTTTCAAAATTAGGGGAGTCTAAGTAACTGAGATCTTGTTTCAGTATTGAACTACCTTTTGTAGTTTTCCTTTTAGTAGTTGTCATTTTGGTCAATTTAATTAAGGATTTTATAATATTAGTTTTAAAAACCCCTAGTACCAGAACTATTTTATTTAAACCTGTAATTTTGTATCAAATTACAACGAAATAAGAGTTTAGAATTATCTACCAATCCTTGCTCCCTCATCCCCACAAAAAACTGTCCATCACTTTCGACAATGTGAATACCAACTCTTTGGAACTACACAAAAAGAACTTTTCCCTTAACATAAAGAAAAAGTATGATTCATTTGTTAGTATGAGTGGGTTGTTATAACCATCTTAAAATTCATTGGAATTTTTTCCAAATGTTCTTTGCATTGGTTGAACCGTAAAAGCAGCTGATTTCAATTATAGATATAACTTGTTAACAAACACTAGCGCTCATAATTAGCAAATGGAGAACTGATTGAGAGAAAGAGAAAGAAAATTTAGAGCAAAGGAAAATTAGCTGATAGTTAGCCCTTGCTTTAAATTTGAGCTTGGGAAACAATTAATTATTACTTTCTTTGACATAAGCTGTTATCAAAAATAGCTTCTTTCTGTGTGGAGTTAAGAAATATTTTTTGTTAATAAATACAACAATCTCAAAACATCTTATAAGATAATATATTAAAGTTAACATGTTTTCATGTGAAATATTTGTTTGTTGAATTATATTTTCTCTAGTTCCAAAGGACTGAACAGAAATTAAATCTTCTGGATTTATTAAACTAATTTTTCACAAGATGCAAGTTCACAGAGTTCCACAGAGATTGGTTCCCTATTATTTAAGACCCTAATAATCGAAGGGTATTTGTGGTAAGACTAGGCATCGCAATTCCTATGGTCATAGGACTTATGATGTAAACTTAGTATAAGTTTATGGTGCTAGGTGGGATTGCGGCGCAATCCCTACCCTAGGTTACTGAAATGCATTTATGAAACTTGGTTTCCCTATCATTTTCAGAGTTTGATAAGTCATCTGGGTAAAAAAATCACATTTTTGTATATCTTTAATTTGAATAAACGATGATATTTTAATTTTTACTATTGTAAAACACTGGTTTAATGCAAGGGTGTCCAACTTAAAAAAACATTCATAGCTATAAAAATGATTGCCGATTAAAATTGGGGGATATAGGCCTAACTGAGCACATTTCAACCCAAATGTGAGTGAATGATTGTGTGGGATGGAGTGAGATGTCTTGTATAGCTTATTACTGACTGAGATCAGCTATTTCTTTAGCTAATACCGTTGATTAATCCTAATGATTAACGATAAGAGTTCAGCTCAATCATTAAAAAACTTTATCAGGTTCGAACCGAGCACCCTAACCAATCGACTACTCAAATATTATACTCAATTTTAATCATACCATTGGGAACGCCATTCATTGAAAAAAATTGTTGGGCATCCTTGAATTAGAATAGGTAACACTCATACATCTGATATATTATATTCAGAGTATTACTGATAATTCACATAATATTTAAGTAATTGGTTGAATTTGAACACAAAAGTAAACCTTATCTGTTTACTCCTGATGTTCTTAATATTTAGTTTATTCCTCTCAATGGTGTTGTAGACTCGGAATGTAATAAAATGTATCCACTGTTCTACCACAATACATTGGAACTAAGAACACCAAATCATATTGTTAAACATAGATTAAACAAGTTTCATTTCTGGTGACTATATTCTGTTTAATCTGTGTTGGTAAATACAGCAATTGGTTTGCAAAAGTTATTACATTCCGGACTTGTATTGGATAAATTTACCATTTGGTTATATTACTTTTGTTTGAGACCAAAATTTATGATGGTATCCATGGGTATTTTAGGCTGTACTGAGAGTTTGGAAAGTTAAGTTGAAAACTCAAAAAGTTAATTTATAACTTGACTTATTTAATTTGTTCTAAAATTTTAAAATCTCTCTTTTAAGAGGAAACAGTTTATTTGCTTTTTTTCTCTAGTATTTAGGTCATACCTAAATCATTTGACAAACTTGAAAGAGTTATTCCAAACAGATATTTACATTATGAGCTCTTACAGTTTTGACTATTAATATTCCTGCAATTTTCTGCTCAATGCTTGGTTAAACGGCCAAATCAAAAACCGTACTGTGACAAACTGTACCTGAAAATAGCTAAAGGGTAACTATAAATCTATTTTTCGTCATACTGCAGCAAAAACAGCCGTTTTTAACACCTGTTGTGGGTCTAAAGTGGCTCTTTTACTCTCTAGGAAGTAAAAAGCCTTTTTAGTCCTAGGGAGTAAAAGTCAGCTGATGTAAAACACAGTTGTAAACTTAGATTGTGAACAATCACATGTATTGAAAGTATGTATAGATTGTTTTATCGTTTGTAGCTTATTGTTGCATTCTTGTTAACAGTTTGACATATCGATGGTATAATCTACACTAACACAATTGTGATTGTCGAAATGATTCAATCACTTACTATAAAACATCTAAATTGAAAACAAGTTAGAAGTCGTTTTAAAGATGTTATCTTTACAAGAAAGGTTTTGTTCTTTTCTAACTTTATTTGCTTAAATAATGATGAAATATGACGA